AAAATACAACTTGCTAAAACATTTTGTACCCCCGAATCATGGATTTTGTACCCCTAAATCACTTTATACCCTCTTGTACCCCCGAATCGTTGTACCCCTGTAGTTTTTTTGGCTGAAATATTCATTTAAAAATCAATAATTTTTGATTTTCAGGTATATTTTAAAGATTTAAAGTAATTCCAAGTCGAAAATCAATGGTCTCTATTATTACACTTTTCATTGAAATTATGCAAAAGTATTGTTCCAACTTTTGTAAATAACATATTCCTTTGAGAAACACTCCAATTCCTCAGAGAATACAACGTAGAAAAGACATTCCATAGTGCACTTTTCCCAATTTAAACAAAATGAGAAAGAGGAATCCTGTAAACGAAAGGCATTTTTGCCTGTTTGCTCTGATCAATATGATGCTAGTGTGGGGCGTGTGGGGCTCACGAGCCCCCCTAACTGCCTCGACACAAATTACACTGCCTAACATTGACCCGCTGCTTTCCCTGTCGTCTCTTCATTGCGACGCTTCTCTCTAGTCTCCTGCTCCTAGCCGTGTCCCCGCAAGAGCACAACTAGTGCCGACTAGTCCCTCTCTCCGCCTTGTCCTTGCATACCCGCCGCACGCGCGGCTACCATTTGCGGTTTCCTCGCCGCGCGAGCAATGCGATAGACAAATGTAACATTGTGCAGTGTCAGAGGGCATTTTTTCTCTTCTTGTTCCTTGTTCTCAATTTATTTAATTTATTGTCTGAGAGGTTTAAAAATCTGGCCCAAAATATTTCTTTCATTCTTGCTTTGTCTTCTACTCTCGTAAACCGACAAATTTCTGTCTTCAAGGTTAGATGTCAAATCCATGCGAAGAATCACTTCATTCTATTGCGAATATTCACGGTTAATTAGTAACATTTTACATAATAGCTTGCCGTGCGCTGATTTTAGGCCTAGTTGGCCAACTTTTCTCGTAGAAATTTTGGAAAATTTTCGAAATGATTCGAATTCTAAATTTTCGAATTAAAATTTTTCAAAAATTCATTTAGGTCGCATTTTATTACCATCATAAATTTATCCTATTTTCATCAGAGACGAAAGACCCGAAAACATTGCAATCTGGTGCAGATATTCTTCTTGAATTTAGTCACGCACTCATTAAGTAGATTGAGATTGAACGGGTTCACTTCCCACACATGTATTCATGAGATGACATGTTTTTTTTGAATTTTGGGAAAGACAGAGGCTTGATGATCGAGCACAACCCACACAATCTTTTGTTCTATGTGTTTTTGCTTTCGTCGGAATAATCAGTCTGTCTGGCTCAGGCAAGTTTTTCGACACTTCCCTGTTCTCTCGTGACTTTCCAATATTTGAGAGTTCCGCTTTCTGGCAAAAATCCATAGATCATCAGGTATAACATGTTCAGAATGTGTGGGTCCGTAATGTCTCCCCCTCCTAAACTCAATCAAAGAGTCGTCTGAGACGCAAAAACGAATTGCTGCCCCCATGTGCTTAACCCAGATGCTCTGTTTTTGCCCAATGTCGCATATATTTGGTTTTGACAAACCTCACCAACAATTTCTCCTTCTAGAGCGTCTTGTTGTTGGTTATGCATACATCAAGGAAGTATTTGTCACCATCTAAGGGATTTAACTCCCTGGAAATCCGCTTAGAATATTAACTCCAGCTGCTATTGTAATCACTTTATTTATTTTTTTCTAGTTTTCACATGACTTACCATATTTTGACTGAAAATGATTCATAACATGTTAGAAGGAAGTTTTTTTTCTTTTTCTGTGAGCATATATTTTTTGCTTATTTTTTCTCTGGCTAGTGCCAAAACTGGATAATGTTTGTACTGAAACCTAATCTCCGGTGTGAGCCGCCAACGTCGGAATCATTTCTAAATTTAGAGTGAAGAGCAAGCAATTATGTTTGTTAAAAGTTCAGTGATACAGATCCTCTAATGTGGACTTTGCTCCTTGTTCCTCGCCTTCAATTCTCAAAACTCACGTCTCTCCTTAATCTGTTGATAAGTTTAGTGATACCAGATAAGCACTTAATCGAGAAAGAATTATTTTCTGATTTTCGCCAAATCAAAGCACCCCATAAACACATCCTATGTCCCTCTAAAAACACGCCACACACCTGACTTCGTTATCAGAAAAGAAGGAATTGGGCTTTTTTTCCTCAATTTTTTTTCCAATTTCTCTTTCTGCTCTTTTCATTGCTCCTAGGATATCATCGACGACCTGTGTCAGTTGTGTGGCTATCTTCAGTCGTTTTTCCAGTCATGAGGGCCAGGGACCTTCTCACGTGTCTCTTCTTTGTTTTTGCCTCAAACTCAGCACCCCAAAAATTTCTTCTTTTCATTCATTCATCAGATTGATCACAAGTTGAATAACAACGACTCAATTTCCGTTCCATATCCCGTTTCCATCACCTTTTTCCGCGTAAGGGCCGGCCCATTCCCGAGCCTCGAAATCTTGTTAGCTTATTATACCCAACTCTTGTCTTGATCTCAAAACTCGGTTTCACTTTACGGCACGCTTAGTTTTATCTGTCACGTTCTTTTCAAAGTGTAATATACTTCTTAGTTTCGTGTGTCTCGAGACAAGAGAGATGAGTTCGAACTTCACGGAAAAACTCAATTTTCGTTGTGTTATAAATTATTCTGTAGGTGTATGTGCGTATGTGTCTCCTCCGTCACACATGGCTTTTGGTCTGTTGATCCAGAATTTTTCGAAAACTCCTTATTTCATCTTATTTTTCTCTATTTTTTTCATTTTTTTTAGTATTAACCATTTCATATATCATTCTTTTTTTCTTTTGTTTTCCACGAATTCCATCTGCAAAATCAATTCCAAAATTCCAATTATTTTTCCAATTCATTTTTTGCAGATTTTTTTACCAGTGGCTTGTCCGCTCAACAACACAAAGAGACAGAAGCAGTGCTATGAGAATTGGCTTTCAGACTTTCTTCTCCACACGTTCCAGGTGAGTCGTTTGAGAAACCAATAAGGGCAAAAAAAAATACTGTTAGGGTCTGAAAAATAAATGTGTGGGAGGAAACACGACATAACGAACGGAACAGAACGTTGAACAACAATACTTTTCTTTCTTCCTCCCATTTATCGACTGTGTAGCATTACTTTCATACCTCGCATACTCTAGTGCCTCGCCAAACAGTTATTTTTGGGTGATGTTCATTATGCTGGGGCGCAGGTTTGAACAAATACACCATAGTGTGTCTGTGTGGGTGTCTTTGGGGCAATGGTAGTGTACCTTTTTTGTCCAATTATTGAATGATCCTATTTTTGCCCAACTCCTACGATTATTTCTCACCTTTCGATTTGAATTTTGAATCGTCTGAAAATGATACAAAAATATATGAGCTTTGTCACGTTTATATCCTTTCTTTAAACCTCAAAAATTTCCATGTAATTCAATCATGCGGAAAACTAGATGCATATCATAAATAGTTAGGTGAAGCATAACAGAAAACTAAACGGCATGAATCATTTTTGTTCGAAACTGAAATTCTGTTTTCGTTCGTGAAGTTCGAGAAGTTCACTACCTAGTAAAACCGGATTATCACATGTTAGGATGTTTTAAATTAGGTAGTTTGACCTGTAGATGACAACTTATCAAGGTTAAAAATTGTTTATGTGCGTTTCTGATCAGTTATTTGGCATCCAACTGGTCCTTATATTGTTTTTTCGATTACCTTTAGTCTTGATGTTTGTTTTTAAAGTATCTGACAAAAGAACCTGGGCACGTTGTAAACCCAGATTTTTTGAAAATTTCCAGTTAGGTTGAGAATATCCTATTTAAATTCTTCTGCAAATCCAGAATCCGCTCCCCAGTTGTTGTTTTGTTGCGTTATACTTGAAGTAATTAAATCTCAGGTTTCAGACATTTTTTGAAATTTTTTTTATTTTCGACTAAATCCAGGTGGAAAATATCGAAAATTTGGAAAATAAATTTCCGAGAAAATCTCTGAAACAAGTGATTTCATTGAATTCTAAGCATAACACAACTAAATTCATGTTCTGAAACGTCGGCTGAGAAGATCGTCTTCGAATTTGACTGTTTTTGCACTGAAAACGCAATTTCCGGTACTGAAACTGATATAATTGGGCTGAAACTGACGAGCGGATTTAATAAAAATTAAAAAAAAATCCAGATAGCTTATCTTCAACTTTTTCTAAAATTGTTGACAACTTTTTTTTCAGCTGCATTCTATTATGAAATTCTGATGAATAAAAAGGTGTTGAGGTTCCCTTGTGAAGTTGTGATTGCAAAAAGTGCCTGATGAACTAAGGAAGTTGTTTTCACAATATTAAGATGTTCGATCCGTGAGATTTTCCCAAGGAAATCTTGATCTGATTAACCTTGACTCTCATAAAGTCTGTGATTTTTGCTCTTGATTGTTCTTTTCAAATATTTCGATGAAGCCAAAACCATCTCCTCTTGAGACGCTTTTATATTTTCTTAAAAAATTATAGTTTTGATTTATCAAAAGAAGACTGAACCTCTAAAGCTTAAACTCTTTGACTGAAACTGACAAACAAGAAGATGATTAGGCGGATTACGCGTGAGGTTTCTTCGGAATAATAGAATGCAGCTGAAAAAAAAGTTTTTATTATTCCTCTGCTGGAAACGCTCGTCCGTCGCCATGCACATTCTCATCTCTTCCTCCTCTTTGCCATTTCCCTTCTAAAGGCACACACACATACACACTAATTTCTTTTATCTCCTACTTTTATATTTTTTCATCATTTTTCCATCTTTTTCAGCCGATCGAAAGTGTTGCGAGCACCCATCGGCGAATATTGTCGAGGTCAACACTGACTATCTGTGGCGCATCCAAACTCAATTCGTCCGTTCACCGAAACATTCTTGATTAAACGAATATCACTATTTGACGCAATCACTTTCAAGCCACCATAATTTCAACACGTGAGTTTTGAATATTTTATTTCCTTTTTCCAACTAATTTTTTTTCCAGAGCAACCATGAGCGCAGCCGTCCAAAAAAGAATTCCGACCGTAGCTGTACCGGCACCAGCCACTACTACTTACTTCAAGCCAGCACCATCTGAGATTGCGTGGGGCAAGATGAGGTTCTTGATCACCGATCGTCCCACCAACTCTTCCATCCAGACCTACATTGAGGAGCTGGAAAAGCATGGAGCTAGGGCAGTTGTACGAGTTTGTGAGCCAACATATGACACCAAGGCTCTCAAGGAAGCCGGTATCGATGTACTCGATTGGCAATTCAACGATGGATCTCCACCTCCACCAGAGGTTATCAAAAGCTGGTTTCAATTGTGCCTGACTTCGTTCAAAGATTATCCAGACAAGAGCATCGCAGTCCACTGTGTTGCCGGACTAGGCAGAGCACCCGTGCTCGTTGCCATCGCTCTCATCGAAGCTGGCATGAAGTATGAGGATGCAGTGGAAATGATTAGAAAGTAAGAAGGAGATTAAAACATCATCAAAACATTAATATTATTTTTTTTAAGGCAACGACGTGGAGCTCTCAATCAAAAACAACTAAAATTCCTTGAGACTTACAAAGCAAGCGGCGAACTTCGCCGGCTTCGTGGTGCTGTAGAAGGAAAACAAAAGTCATGCTGCATCCAATAATAAAATCACTCAGTCATATAAAACAGAACAATTCCAGCATATGAGCTAGTATCACTTTCTCCTTCCTGGTGTCCTTTTTCCCTATTTCTTTTCTCTATCCTATCCTTGTTGGCATCCCTGTTACCTCTCACTTCCACACCTTGTGAACATCGAATTTCCATATTATCATTAGTTACCAAAATTCCAACTATCGCACTACCTAAACAAGCCTTTTCTTCTGTCATTATCCTTTTCTATTTTTTCTCAAAAGCCTCAAAAATTAATGTGATACGTTGAAACTGAAAATTCTGAAACTACGCTTTACCCAATTCCACTAATAACGCTTTTCTTTAATCTATCCTTATTCTAATCTACTATTCATTTTCTTCTTTTTTTTCCTATCTTTCTCTATCATTCTTCTATGAAATATGAATGTGATTCATTAGCTCTGATTCATGAAAGTTTTGATCCATTCAGTTTTCAACCTGATCAATTTTTTATTAATGCCCAACTTCTTTTTTGTCTTTTTTCTCTCATCCGGTTCTGAATCAAACTGACCTTTACTTTTTTCAAAATGAAGTATTTTTTGTTGAACTCCGAAAATTGAGAAAATAGTCAAAAACACAATTAACGTTTTTATTATACAACAATTTGTACAGCCAAATATATAAGAGTTCAAACTTTAACGAGATCCGGGTTGGATGTGGTGATTCCAGTGTTGGGCTCATCCTCATCCATGTCATCATTGTCCACATCGTCATCATCGTCGTCGTCATCATCCTCCCCAAGAGCTTTGCGGCGGAGTCTAAAACAGGAAATTGTGTTTTTCAGAATTCGATTTTTCAAGGAGGGTTTACCTTCTTTGCCTTGCCTTGTAGCATTGAAGACACTTGGTGACGAAGAAGCAGGAAATGAAAAGAACAATTCCTGCGGTCAAGAACAGAAGCACCGCAAAGGCCACAGATTCAACGTCCCGGCTGAATGACGACGTGACGATTCCATCGGGGTGTTGTTCTGAAAATTTACGGTTGTCTGGTTTAAAAATTACACTATAGTCTTATTTCCACTCGATGTTCATCTCATTTTCATGTTCTGTGTAATTTTGTGATCAGCAGGAGGATATAGTGAAATCACGTTTTAACTGAACATCATACTACAAAGAGATGATAAAAAAGAAGAAGATCAAAAATGGAGAATGCAGGTGATATGGTTTGCAGGAGGAAGGAAATCGTTTTTTTGTTTCAATCAAAATTGTTTTGGTTCTATTATCCTACACACGCCTCACTAGATTTTGAACAAAGTAGCGTACTTCCTTGAATAAAACTCAAATCCTTTACTTCCAATTTTATCTTAACTACCTAAAAACTCTAATAGAATGCTTTCAACTTTGAACCCATATATCCCATTTTCTATGAAAGATAACAAAAAGTGGTCAACTTATGAGATGTTAATCACACTATCACAATTTTTTGTGAGTTAAACACCTTTTGATATCTTTCACAGAACCCGAGATAAATCAGCTCGAAGTTTACAGTATGTACATATCTGAGAATGACAGTATATGATTATTGACTCACCCGATTGATCCGTACTCGACGGCCACTTCATTTTTTGTTACTTTGGAGTTGTGACGCTCAAAACATGAATGAAACTGATATGAGCGTCTTCTTTTCAGACAAAAAAGATGTCGAGAAGAAAAAAGCACGTCAAAGTAGGTGGAAAGATAGCAAAAGATGATAGGGGGGGGGGGGGTGTAGAATGAGAAAAGGTGAAAAATTAAAGCGACTGAGCAGCTGTTACGAAACAATTTGAAGAAGAGCTGGTGAGAGATTGAGAAAAATGAAGTATCGATACCGGCGAACAGGCGGAGGAAAAGAGGAAGAAAAAAACGAGATGAAATGAAAAACAAGGTTTTGGAAAATGGCTAAGAGTAGCTCCCGATAAACAGAAAGCTGGTAGCTACCCAATTTTTCATAAAATGACCCCCAATACCCATCTTATAAACCCATTTTTGTTGTTTGTAAGGGTCATCGCGTGGAATAAAATATTATTTCAGTTTTTGTTTTTTGACTGTTTGTTTTAATTGGAAACTGTCATATGAAAACTAACAAGTGGAGCTATAGCTTTAAATTTTTCATTAATTTTGTGTTTCAGAAAACGGAAGAAAATTTGTATGTACATATGACGCACTGGGAGGACATCATGTATACAAAAAAATTAGGAAAGAAGGACCCGCGAAAAAAAATGGATGGCTTAAAACAATTATAAAAGCGTTGAAAAAAATCTAGAGGAAGGGAACGAGATGATGGGGAGAAGACAAAAAAACAGACATACACAAAGAGAAAGAGATAGGGTAATGCGACATCTATAAAAATCTGCTACTAATTTTGAATTTCGAATTTCTCTCTCTTTTCTTTTTTCTCTGATTTTTTGCGTTCGTTCATCGGAGACAGCATGTGGTTTCGATGAAAAACTGATGGTCGTTATTTTTTTTTCCTGAGAGAAACTCCAGCATCAGCAGTGCGACCCAACACATCGCTCTTTCTCATTATCGTCACCTGAAGAAACGTTATGGGACATTTGAAACCAATAGGGAAGGATAACAAAAGCGATTTGGGAAAAAACCAAACTTGGAAACAAACCCTGTCATAGTCTCCTTTATGATACACATTTTCGGATCTACTGACTTTGATATAATAGAACTCGACGACTACTACAAAATGACACTATTCGGCCAACTGAAACTGAAACTTGTTTATAAACAAAGTTTTAGACGAAATGGGTCCAGATCGGGAGGTTCATGGCTTGTAACTTTGTTCATCGACAAGATGAAACTCTTCAATCAGTATCATTCTGTTGTACACACCGAGTTCTATCATATCTAAATTTGTGAATCGAAAACTATTGATCCTAAGAGAAACTAGGGCTAGGCCCTCCAAAGGCTGACAGGTCCAATTTTTCAAGTATAAAAACACAAAAATAAAATAGGGGTATCACTAAATGGCAATATATTTTGCATTCAATCTTCCTTTTACCTACCCATGCAAAATCCTTGATAACACCTCCTCCTTCTGGTTCTTTGTCCAACACCACATTTCGTGCTACATGCTGACCAATTCGACCACCCTGTCCACAAACCGGACCTATTCACCAATGGTCTTTGTGTTGTTGTAGTTGCTACGCAGTGCTAGAAACTGTTTCCTTAGTTCCCCTTTCAAATTATTTGTTTTTACCTGTCCATAACAATTCCTAACATCACTGTCCCTTCCACGACAGAATGCTGCAAAGCATGCACGCTTTCTGAATTGCAACCCTTCTCCACAATTCACAGAACACGCTGACCATGCCGACCATTCTGTCCATGTGTTGTCTGGAGCCGAATTACAAGCCTGCATGACACATGGTCCCGTTTCAGCACAATCTGAGAATCACATTTGCTTCCAGTTACACTACTCATGATTACCTTGTCCAATACAGTTGTCTCTTCTTCGGAGTTTCTGCCCAGTACCACAAGTTACACTGCATGCTGACCATGGTCCCCAGCTGCAATCTCTGATGTAAGATGGCTTACAAACAATTTTACTCACTGATCTACTTTCCTAATGATCACATTTGTCTGCCGATTTGGTAATGGAGCGATGAACCTGTTACGGAAAGTTTGTTGAGGGGCGGATGTGGTGAGAGCTCGTTCAGAACCAGTGCATGGTCTGGTGCACGGCATTTTTTCACGAAGAGCTCCAGCACAGACACCGGCAAGACATCTTCTGACACGAACTTTGACTCCTTGTGTGTCTGAAATTGCGAGTACAAAAAATTCAAAATTGAGTAGTAATATACTCACGGCAGTCATAAGTGACACACTCTGACCAAACCGACCATCCAGACCATTCGTTGAGGAAAGGAACTGAAAAAAATTTAGTACTTTCAACTTCCTACTTTTTCCGAAGTGAGCTATACCTTTTTTCTGCTCTTTGTATGGATTCTGCTTCGATGCTGATTGATCAACAGAATGAATATGCGGCTGTGGTGCTTGCGTAGTTGTGGCGAGCACACTAAGAGGACAGTCCGCTTTTGAATAGGCTAGTGTGGTTGAACCACATAGAAGAGGCTGGAATAACGATACAGATGAATTCTGAAGTCGCAATATTACTTACCCTGCACTCTCCCTTGATACAGAACTGATTGCTACCACAAGGTGTTCCATCTGGGAAGTTGGAGACTGTTCGAATGTTGGTTGATCCAGAGATCAAGCACCAGATCTTGCACATCGCCTGCTCGAACTGCATTCCTTCTCCGGATAGAATCGTGTTAGGAATCGCGTTTTCGTCACGGAGTTTTGAGCATACACGAGTTGCATAGTTTTCGATAGAGTCTCCATTGCAAACCTAAAACAATATTAGATGAAATTTATACGAAATATGTTAACAAGATATACAAAACATGTATTTTTCAGTTGACTTTCGGCCCTTTGACCTTTTTCAGTACTCTGGAGCTCGACTGTCAAGTTTCCGATCTATTTGAAAAATTTAAAACGTGTAAAGTAGGCGTAGATTGAAAACATTGCATTCACAGAATTTTTGAAAAAACCTAGCTTTACAGCTCTTTGCCAATTTCTGAAAGATATTTAATTTTTTACGCTTTCAGTAAAAACAAGGCCAGAAGAAATTTTCTAAAAGTTCTGTGTTCACAAGTTTTCAATTTATGTATGCCCGTTTTATACCCCTCGAATTTTAGGAAGTGATAGGAAACTTGACAGTCGAGGTCCAAACTACTGAAAACAGTAGACATGGTAAAAAATCATGACTGAAAATTTTTCGATTTTCTGACCTTTCTGTGACTCTAACAAAACCTGTTCAAAGCATTATCTACTGATCAATAAACATCAAATAAGCTGAATGGTGTTTCACTGTTCAAAAAAAACTTACGTCTCTATGACAAACCATTCCACGAGCTTCATCTCCTTGACACGGCGCTCCTCCATTATTCGAACTACAACGACCCCTTTTAGATTTTTTTGTTCTTTGAAAATCGTCCAACCTAGGATTATTACACTGTCGGATACTACGCATAATTCGAATCTGTCCTCGAATCTCACACGGAGAACATCTGCCACCGCAAGTGGGTGCTGGTCGATCGTTCCACGAAGACCAACCGCCTACCGTAACTCGCATCAGTTGATTTGATCCAACACACTGGCCTTGGCGACAGATCTATGAATTTAAATTGTTTATCAATGAGATGGCAGAGGGTAGAGAGTTCTCACCATTCCAAATCCACAATACGTTCCTTCCAGAGCTGGATGTGCTGTTCTGATCACCCCTTCTCCGTTTCCACACCAAACCATCTGACACACATTTTGCATCGTCTGTCCATCTTTCAACTCGTGTTTCCAACATTCACCATGGAAAATTTCACATTGCTCATCCATTGTAAAAAGTTGACCTGGTGGCTCAGACTCTTTAAATGCCACCATTCTCTGTTCCGCCGAGGCATCTTGAAGACAATTTGGAGGACGGAAGTCATCGCCCAGATGCTGAATCAGAATTCATAAAATACTTTTTTACAATTTTCCAGATACCCCAACAAAAGTTGCCATTTCATTGACAGAACAATGACTCCAGTGTGTCTTGCCACTTCCGACAGAAGGACTCATGATGCAACATCGAAGATCGCATTCGTTATCTCCGTCGTGGTACATGCCCAAACTAAATTTGAACCAAGATTTGATAAGAAAAGGGAAAATTCCAAAATGCTAACCTATGGCCCATCTCATGCGTAACCACAAAAACGCTTCCAAAATCAAGGCCTTCGTTAATTGTACATGATCGTACACCACTGCACATGCCTTTCACTGGCGCGTATCCCGCAACTGTTTTCACTCCGTTTCGATGAAGATCGTAGCTAGAAAATTGGAGAAAGTGAGATTAGGAGAGAGTGGTTTACCCCGAAAATAGAAGTGCGTGGTCCCAATGTCTTGGATCTGCGTCACTTGGAGGGTTGATTTCGTTTTGATATTGACAGAAAGCATCTAGTAAGCGATCCACGTCGCCATTGGAATGTTTTCTAGCATGCATGAGAGCCTGAAAAAAAAACTTCGGAATTTCAAAAAATATTTGATAGGATAATATTGTGAAGTGTATAAAAATTAAAGTGCAATTTGTGGAATTTGAATACTACTAAAGTCGAAATAAAACAGGCCAAAAGATTTGAAGGATTTTGAGAGGGTTAGAAAATTCTGGAAATACCAGAAACCCATAACTTTTATAATGAATGAATGGAGACGCGTCTTTTTTGCCCATTTTTCACTTTTTCATGAGTTTTAATCTTTGATCTACGATGATATTAGAACTAATTTTGATCTACAATAATATTTTCAAAAATTAAATTTGATCTACGATGATTTTTTCAACTGCATTTGGTCAACTATTATATTTTGTGAGTTAGCTAGGTCCATTAATTTGAAATCTTTCATTTTATTGTTTAGATATAAATTTATTTTTTAAAATTTCAATTCATATTCAACAAATTTTATGCGGAACTATGAAATTGCGCGGTAGGGGGACTAGCCAGAAGTTCTTTTTTTTACACAGATGGGTACATTATGAATTAACAAACCGGAATATTTTTCAAAATTTCATATCTGACAATTTTGATATTGATTCTTGGCTGCAGTAGTCGTTGAGTATAAAGTACGTCGATCTGAAACCTCTAAAAATTTTCAAGACTTTTACAAATTATTTGAATACATTATTGACAACGGCCATAATGAAAGTGTGCATATTCTCCTCGGCAGCTTTTCCATACATTTTCTTAAAATGGTCCCACATGGCGTCATCCGCAAACACCGCCAATTCCACTGTCAAAATATCTCCTCTTCGATGTGGTTCCGCTCTCCTGATATCCTTCACCATTCTCATCAGCATGCTTTTCATTGCTATCTCTTCTCTATCTTCAGGATACGGATCCTGGCTGGCATCTTAAAAGAGAACGCTTATTTACTCATTTTCTCTAGACGGTTCCATACCGAATTGACACTCATGATCGATGGATTCGATACTTCTTTTATGGATAACATGCTGACCGGATTGGTGATGAGATTGGATCAAGTGGTAATCCCCGTTATCAGTAATGACCATGCCATTCTGCAAAATTTTTTTTTGCTTTTTGATTTATCTATGCTGTTTTCTGAAGAAGCGCCGCGGCGTTACACAACGATCAAAGATCGATAACATCTATTAGGCATACAATTTGTTTTTTTATAGAAAATGGTTCAGTTTCGTGTTTGTTTTTAGCGAATTAAAGTTCCTCACAGAAGGTCAGTCAATTATTTTTGATGATTTTGTTTCTGCGTCCATCACACACCGAAACCAAAATCACTTCCTCGTAGTAAACGAAAGTGAAGTGTTGATTCGATAGTGCCATTCTCGTAGTAAGATCGCGATCAAAGAAGGAAAAGTAAGCTATCTCTTCTGTCTTCATCAAGGTTTTTTTTCGAACAAAAAAATTACCAAATTGTGTCCGCATCCGACAAGGCCGATGCGTGTGCCGTTCCGAACGGCACTTTCTCCCTCGTAAACACAATTCTTCAATGGATGCATCATCGATTCCACGTCGTCTTCCATCATGTGGAAACCTGCAACAACAATCAATTGTTCCGGGTTTTTGACCTTCTAGACGTTTCTCGAACGATCGTTCCGTTTTTTTTCACCCCAATCAAAGCGTTTTGATTGTCGATTATCTGCTATGATAACAAAGCGTTCTAATCGCAAAGAAAATCCTGCTTTGAAGCATGACAAAAGATTAATGGCGCCAAGAAGGCTACAAAAAGGCAAACCTTCGGAGAACAGATGCGGTTTGTTGCGTAACACGAACGTCTCCATGACTCCATCAATAAGAAAATCCATTTTGAAGCTATCATCAATATCCAATCTTTGTTTTTTATGCCCATCCAAGAAGTAGTCCGGAACTGGAATTTTGGATTGTGGGAAAGATAAATGCCAAAAAATATTTTTGATTGGTCTAAATTAATTTTTTCCACATGTTTGCTTCTAGACAAGGTCACTAAAAATGGCAGACACAAGCAATCCGTCAAGTGGAAATGAAAGTTTCATTGAAATTTCTTTTTTCATTACCTTTGCCTTTGTTTTCAGTTCCGAAAAAGTGCTTCAATTCGAGTGGTGTCATCGAGTGATGTATTGCGGAAGTCCCCTAAAAATAATTGCATTCTTTGGTTAAAGAACACAGGTCATTTCTGCTTACCACCACAAAAAAACTTAAAAGAAGTACTGTATTCATTTTCATGTTTAGTTCATTACAGATTAAAATAATGAGAATATATAGGGCTGAACAATAGTACTTTTCGGAATAAATTGCCCTGGAGAAATCTGCAAAAAACGTGAATTGGATAGTTTTTCTACGAACTGAGAAACAAATTTATGACCAACGTGAAAAAATGGAGGAGATGTGAGAGGAGAATGAGAACGATAAAACTGTATTTTATCAGTTGATAGAAAAACCTTGGTTAGAACAAAAAATTGTTCTCAAAACTGGAAAACCTTGTTTTTGAACTTATATCTGAAAAGCATCAGATATCTAAGAATAAGATCGATCAAGGCTGCAAAACGATACCAGCTATATTCTTTCCAGACAGTCCCCTCCCCTTAGATTTTGTAAGATTTTGTACAAGCCATAAAAACTTTACAACAAAGAAGAATAAATGAGATCAAGCTGGTATACAAGACAATTAACACACAGTATCACGAACGCGGTAGTCTGTTTTTTTTCTAGATTTCAATGATACCAACACCTACTTCCTTGTCGATGCCGTACAAGACACACTAATCTTGACAGAAAGACTTACTGCTTTCCTAGGTGGTCAGTTACACTAAATAAGAGACAAAAACTGAAACAATTACACTTTTGAAGAAGGGAAAAAAAAGAAAAGAAAGCTTAGTAGATCAGAAAACTTATCAGTTACTTTTTCAGCGCATCAAAACACAGAATATCACAAGTCACGGTGTTACTTTGAGGTTTTTATACCCAGCCAATTCTACCGGTTTTTTAAAGGTTAATCAGTTCAGGAAAGAAAGGGCAATTCAGGAAAAAGGAAGGGCCATAATGTTACAACTTTTCTAAGCTTATGGGTATTTGGCACTTTTAGCAGAATGGCATACAACGAGAAAAAGAAGGGAGAAAGTACTGAAAGAACTTGATCATTACCACGAAAAACTTATCACTTGGACTGATGAGAAGAAGGAGGTGTCGATGAGACGAGAAGGATTGGAAAAACGAAGGGGAAAGCGAGAAAAAGCTGGGGGAACTTGTCAGAAGGCATTCCGAATCAGATACCGAATCATAAATGTGATAGTAGGAGGAAGATGAGTGAAAGGCTTTTTGATATCGGTGACCATAGGAAGTACACCGCTTCAGAAAGGGGGGTAGACCCCAACCGTTCAGCAACTAAACTTGATGCCATTGGCGCTTCCAATGCGATGACTAGTGGAGAGAGAGAAAGGGACTGCATCTGATCATCCCTCTCTCCATCTCTCTAGCAGCCTCTCTTTCTCTCCCGATCCTCACGCAATAGCTGAAAAAAGCTGCGCTGAATGCGTGTTTGTTGTGTTATTGCGGAGGTGATGGACCAGAATATTAGAAAATAGAAAGCCAAACCGATTGCGTAAATGAACTGATTCTTGTCTAGGAGATTTTTATATATTCAAAGGAGAATGGCAGCATAATAGCTAGTTCTCAGACGAAGGGTTACTGTAGGTTTACTTAAATACAGGAATAGAAGACAAGAACCCATTTTTACGCCTATTTAAAAAAAGAAAAAAACATTTAAAAGAAAACCTTTTTGAAATTCACATTGCCAGACCACTGTCAAATTTTCATCTCTTGAAAAAAATCGAAAATTTTCTTCACCGTCCCATGTTCAAATAGTGTTTTCTCTCTTCCCGCCCCCTTCTCTCTTCTCATTTTCAGAAGGTCATCTGAATGTGACCCATCCAATTTCAAATCGGTCGAATAATCCAAGCACCTCCTTCTTCTTCTTCTCCTTCGTGTTGTAATGTTTACGTCTTCAAGAAAATTCGGCGAAACTAATCTAGTATAATGCATGTGTGTTCATATTAAAAGTGTACTAGAATCTAGTTTTAGCTTCTTGCAGTTAGATTAATGTCAAGGTTGCTGGAAAAGTTTGAAAACGTTCATAATCTCATTAGATCTCTTTGAGAAGATCAATTTCCGCATTTTGGGAGTCTTACCTCGCTTTAGACGTTTCTACCAGTTGCCGATAAGTTGTTTGATGGGATCAACGAAGTGAAGCAACATGACACTTTCGATTTCTGAATAAGACATTTGGAAAGTCATTTAATCTAAATGGATCTTTGAAACAGACTGTGGCTTTGGTTGGAACAAAAGGAATGAAAATGTCTACAATGTGTAATGTCTGCAATGTGTATAAATGAGCGGAATGACATACTCTTCAAACTCTTTAATAGAATGCCCCAAAACAATCAACTTCAAGCTCATCATTCTATTAGAATGTTCACAGTAATCTTAAATGCGGAGAAAAAGTGAGGAGAACAAAAAGATCAAATTCGCCAACGTTGAGCTTATTTATCTTGTTAGCTGCGAAAGATATAAAAATTTATCAACTAATTAATTATTTTTCATAAGATCACCAATGTTTTTCTCAGTTGACAAACTAGTGATATCTCTCACAGAAATCGAAATAATTGAACTGAACTATGGCGGTCCGAGTGAGAGTCAAATGATTAGATGGTATACGGTATTTTTGGGTGAGTTAAAGGTGTCTAATATGAGCAATTGCTAAGATAAATTAGATATGTAAAAACACTGCAAAAATGTTGTAGAAATGCTCCACTGTCAGCTATCTTGGTACCTTTCCAAGATTGTGAAAATCAATAAAAGTACAACATGTTTTGATGTTATGGTTTTGTTAATGGGTACTCCTTGATATTTTCCTGGGAACCGAGATCATGAATAGCTTCAAACTAAACTATTTTGGCATATTTTGACAATGAATGTAGTAGCAGATAAGCTCTACAAAATGTTCTACAAATTATATTTTTTGTGTTGAATAGAGATTTCACACATAGACATAACTGAAAATTTCCTTTTTTTTTCATTTTCAAAGTTTTAGATATTCATTATTTATTGTTTTCCATCATGCAATGCAGATAACCGTCATTCTGAACGGAATCCAAACGAAAAACAATTTGTTTTCTATGCCATCCCACTCTAAAAAAGGCGCTCAGACTTATGATAACCTCTTGAATGGGAAAAATGACGAACAAAAGGCAAACAAAGGGGACCGGTAGCAGCAGCGAGCAGATGATCCACCATTTACGATTCGTATTGGTATCAGTGATTATCGAAACCGGAAACTAACACTCAAGTAGTTGATTTATAAGCGCATGGCCGGAAAAGTGTGAAGTATCATTTTCTGTGATTTCAGATTATGATTTCCTATTCTCTATTTCTGTGCGTACCATTGGTGTTAGCGGTGAGTTTTCGACTGAATTTGAAATACTTTGCAGGAATTCGAATTGGTAAACTTTCAAATTTAATATTCTTCTCGCAACTTTTAGAATATATATGTATATATTCCAGCAAGTTCCTGTCTATCTCCGTACACCTGCCCTTCCTGGAACTGTATTAGCTGCTGCTCCTGTGGCTCAACTCCAATGTCCCCAACAATGCCTTCCATCTTGTCTCCCATCGTGCTTGGTTGCTCAATCTCCGTCCGCTATATACCAACCATATGCACCAGCAGTCGCTGGTGCCACCCCATATCAAATTGTACAATCAGTTTCTCAACCTGTAGTTGCTCCAGCCCCAGTTGTTGCTAGTGGATACCAACCATACGGACCAGCCTACGCTCCATACGGACCTGCATATATTCCAGTGATTCCATCTTGTTTGAGCCAGTGTATGCCCACGTGTGCTCCAACCTGTGTCGAGCAGGCATCAACTCCCAAACCACAACGCGACGATTTGCCAACTCCACCACCAGAGACAGTTCCAACGCCAGCTCCGGAAATCCCAACTACGCCTTCTCAGCCAATAGATGTTGTTCCTTGCAAATGCCTAATCAAAATTACCATCACACAAGGAAACAAAGTGGTTTCGAAGTGCGGACCAAATTCATGCTCATGCCCGAAGAACTATACCCAATGTGGATCAAACTGCTGTAAAGCTTAAATTGATGCCTATTGTTAAATTATTCGAATTTTCAACTGTTGTTTTAAATGAAATGCTTCGTTTTATTTCTCATTTTTCTTTAACCTTCTGAACAGTGCACAGCAAAAATATCATCATTTGACGCTCCTAGTAAAATATAGTAAACTTTGAGGCCCTGAAGAAGTAGTCCAGAACTTGAAGTGCAAAAACGATCAATCAGAAAACTGAAGCGCTAATTTTTGTCAGTTTGCTCTGAATTTTTATGACTGTCAACTTCGAGCTCAATTATCTCGGTTCCTATGAGAAATGTCCCAAATATGTCAATTAGTGAAATATTGGTGATATTATTTAAAAAAATTATCAGTTGAAAAAGTTTCAATATCCTTAACAGGAATTGATATAGTTCAGCATAAAATTGACGGTTTGGAAGAGGCTTTTAAAAAAGCAAGTACGGTATCCGAACACAGTGTCTGAAACTGTAGAAACGTTTTCAGCTTATTATAAAAATTATTGTACTTTGCTCAAACAATCATTATGAGTTATATAAATAAGAATTCTTCGTACCGACGGCGTCCCAGTATTGCGAAATCCAATCTGAGATTTATGCAAACGCGCCCGGCGGAACACGCGAAAGCATCTCCTTTTTTCTTCTCCGTCGTTTTCTCTGCTTCTCGTTTATCTTCCTTGTTCTATCATTTCATGCGGCATTTTTGAAAAATTATTGTTAAGTTTTCATGAACATTTTCGTATCACTCCTGACCCTTTGTTAGCTTTCTTTTGGAAAAGTTGACAATGTACGATTTCTGATAGTTTGAAAACCCGCCATGTATAATGATGTGCAAGTTTGCCAAGTTAATTGAAATGTCTAACTGTGAAGAATAATGACTTTCTTGTAACTTTTCAAACCTCCCTCAAAATGTCTCTTTTATTACTATACTCATTAGAATATTTTTAAATGATCAGTGTCTGAAGTCTTGTTAGTGACATAAAAAGTCCCGAAATTCTGATTATTCATTGACGCAGAAACATATGTCATATGCTTCCAGTGGGCAGCTGAATGTTTTTGTGATCTAACTATTTTGTATGACATGTTTTTGATTTTTCTTTCAGTGTTCTTCACTTGTATTCTCCTAACAAAAAACACACAAAAACCTTACTTCGGTACGGACAATAGGCTAGCATAACCCAGAAATATTTCCTATTCTTTTTACTGTGCCATCTTCTTTTCGTCATACTTGTGGCAAAGATAGCCGGCATGCGGACCGGACCGGGCCGGGCCGGGCCATGGCCGGGCTGAGATTTTTTTGAAAGCGGGGCGGGCCGGGCCGGAAAAAATTACACATGGCCGGCCCGCGGGCCGGCCCTCTTTTTGAAAATTTCTAAATTTTAGAGCAAATCATCATTTTTCAAGATGGCTTTTCTCCTTAATAAATAAAAATCCACACTAGAGAACGATTCTGTCAAAAAAAAACTGTTTTGATGTCGTTTTTAGAAAAAAATTTCATCCTTGGCTTAATGAAGTTTGATTTGTTTGCTAAAAATTCAATTAAATTGACTTTTTCGGATGGTTATATGCATTTCGATTAATATTTGTGCTATTAAAAATATATTGGCACATTTGAAAAGTAAAATTTTCGGAAAGTTGTCCTAGGCGGGCCGAGGGTTTTGAGGCAAGCGGCCCGGCCATCCACATGCATGCTTTTTGTACACGTTGGCTGTTCCAATAACTGTCGAAAAATAACTTGACCTAATTTACAAGCCTTCTCCATCATCACATTTATCGAATAGAGAAGAGCGCGCGCAGCTTGCCATTCTGAAATTCCTCGTTCCCGTGCCTCGTCTCTGTATGACGTAGCACTTTGCATATGAACGCTTGTCCTTTGAGAAATAGCGTTCACAGAGACTAGAGGAAAAAGATGCGTACGGTTCAAAACAAAAAATCACGCAATGACACTCTAGAACATTCGTCTTCGCTTTATGAGAATAGTATTTGTCATCATTTTTGAATGATGCGCCCACGCTTTTAAGCTTTTGTACCTTTTTTTGTGAATTTTTCTACAATGGGCTAGAAGATTAATCGCTACAAAACACGATACTTAATCTTACATAGAAAATAGACTCTTTCCATTCAAATTTTTCTTCTCAAATTGAGCGATTTCTTTGTACTTCTAAATCTTCCCGGATTTCAAATAACGTTACATCAGTTCTCAATATTGTTCCAGAAAAATCAACTTGGAATGACGCGTCCAAAGAAGAAGAATCTTCAAAAATCGGTGCCAACCAACCCAGGCCGTATCATGCTTCTCGAGGAGGTGTCAAAATTTTCGTTGTGCGAGAAGTAAGCGATTACTGTATTTCTGCTGTAAAACAGAATAGAATATTGAATTGAATGGTTTCCAAACTTATCTTAGAGGCATTTTGAAGATATAGAGTTTGAATTTAAATTTTAAAAAATGCAAAACTGTTCCGATATAATAAAGATTAAAGCTGAGAAGGGGTTCCGTATTGAGTGGTTTATAGATTTTGATATTTCAAAACTTCACTAACCAGAAAAAATGATTTTTGGACACAAAACACTGATAAACTTCCAACTTTTGAAACCAATATGAGCCACGTCTTGATGAGTGTTGTAATAAAAATGGAAATTATTGTTATATAAGAAGGAGCGATTTTCAAAATTTTCAATTTTCATCCCAAATCACTTCGATTTCCAAAATTTCTGTGAAGTTTCAGTAAAATCACGTGAATTTCCAAAATCCCAGAACTCGAACCGTTCGAGTTCTGTGAAAAATCCCAGAAATTGCAACGTTCAATTTCTGTGAATCACGTAAAATTTCCAAATTCCCAGAAATTTTGGAAATCGAAGTGATTTGGGATGAAAATTGAAAATTTTGAAAATCGCTCCTTCTTATATTATGCTGGGTCGAGAATCATTTCATCATTTCTTGGCACTGTTTTCCAAATACAATCCTTTCTTAACATTTAACTTAATTTTTCTTTTTTCAGGTTTGCAACTTCCATGTGCTCTTATATTGGGAAACAACTTGTCACCGAGGTCTGTGGTGGCATTGATCTTCGTCTCAAAATTCAACTTCTCTCTAATCAGTTCTGCAGCTTGGTTCTTCATCGTGTGAACTCTGACGAGAAATTCAGTTTGTTACTGATGGCGCATAGAAAACTTCCAGAGAACAAATTTTTTCTTAATTCTTCAAAAATCAACGGAATCCATGCAATTTACCAGATCTCAGTAGACGGAAGTAATGGAAAAATCAGCGCCTATCTGAAAGATGAGGAAGATCTCAAAAATGCCATGAAGTACATGATCTCTCATATGACACGTGTATTCACTAAGAACGTCTGCATTGACATCTCGAACGTCAGCAATAACTTCGAGAAAAAAGTGATGAAGATGGTTCGCTCAAAGAAACTCGACGTCCATTGCTACGGGAATTACCAAGAGAAGCAGGTAGCATTCACAAAGATTCAAGAGTTCAGCGCGTATCCGAGAGTGGTGATCAAGAATCCAATTATCTCCAGTGATCAGCTGAAGTCATTCTTCGATGAGTGGAAAATCGGAGTCATCAACAGGGAGTACGTTCGCTTTGAAAACATGGATGACGTTGACTTGGATAGCATGTTGGTGGGGCTTGAAGTCTTCAATCCATTGTAAGTTGCTCCAATCATTCGTCTCAATTTTTCTCGGATTTCAGGAAGGTCATGTTCGTCGAGCAAGCCATGGTTAAGCGAGAGAGCGGTGAAATGGCTCTGGTCGAGTACAACAAAATCTCGAAGGAAGTCAGGCTGATGGGGTATCCGATCACTGTGCCACTTGGTTGTGTCGGAGACTTTGGAGTTTGATTTAATCAATAAAGTGTTAAACTGTTAAATGTTTGTTTGAAAAAATAACGAAAAACCAAAGCGTTTTTTTTCTAACACAGAATTCGCAAACTTCGAAAAATTCGCGGAAGGTCTCTGGGATCTCAAAAAATTGGTTGCTTAGAATTTTTTCCATGAGCTGAATAATGAAGATAAAATATGAGGAAGCCTTCTGATTTTCGGAGTGGCGTTTTTGAAAATTTTTTCAGAATGTCGAAGATGCTGTTTTTCCACAATTTTAGGTTGAAAACTCCATATTTCGCAAAAAAATTGATGAAAATGTGACAAACAGAGTCCGAAAATGCGCGAAATAGTTATTTTGCACAAGACCAACAAATAAACTTTTTGCGTGCGCATTAACGCAGTTCAAAAATCCTTGATTTCTAAAAAACATTTGACAATATTCTTGTCAGAATTTTCGGGACTCCGACTTCCGTTTCCAAAATCCCTGACCTAATAGCCCGATTTCTGTTCATGAATATCAGAAGGCATTGCTCGTGAAAGCGTGTGAGTTCTCTTCAAAGCTCATCCTTTTAAATTTTTTATTGCAAGAATTGAATAAATGAGTCTATCAAATTCCAACACACCATATTAAAATTTTTGTTATTGAAAAAAATTAAAGAGGAAAGAAGGCTGTTCAAATGGTACGCTGAAAATCAGTAAAAAAATAATCAGGCAATTCTGGCGGTTGACAAAAAGAAAAAATCGAAACGTAGAAAACCCACATTCAAAAATATTGGAGGAGGCTGTCTGTGACTACAGTAAAGTTCAAGTTCAGAAGGGATTGAGATGGAGGATGAATAGAAGGATAAAAGGGACAAAAAATATAATTTTTTTTTGATAAAATTGCGTTAGGTGAAAAAAAGGGTAGAAGGCGCAAAACTAGACCAAGATGTATCAGGCTATCATAAAAACACCGATGTTCTCTTATTGGCAAAATTAGTTGGCGATTTATTGCTGCTCAGGGAAAATGACAAAAAATAGTTTTGGGGGGAAGGGAGAGAGTGACGAAGTTGTAGAAAAAAATTATTAGAGTTTTGTTTTTGGGTTTTACACACGTTGGTGTTCAAGTTGTTGTTGGGCAGCGGCCAATTGTAACTGGGAGCTTCCAAGATTGTATGCTGCTTGTGGAACGAGACCGTAGCCAGCCGGATAAGCAGCAGCATATTGCTCAATTGTGGTTGGACCAGCAGCAGCGACTAAAAACATTATACAAATTTTCAAAGAATTTAAAAATATTTAATTTACATTTTCCTTGTGATGGGAGTCCGTAAGCAGCGGCTTGTGGGTTCTGTCCCATAACTGCAGCAAGAGCAGAATAGTCAATCAATTGTTGTTGAGCGGCGGCTCCTTGAGTGGCAATCAACGGATTAAATCCAGTAACCGCCGGATAGTACATTTGAGGAAGCCTGAAAAAATAATTAGTTAGATACAGTAATCCAGCTGTAGTTTGAGGAATGTCAAATGCCAAATGCTCGAAATGAGGCAACAGTGTTGATCACAATATCACCCAAAAAAACACGCTCATGCGTGATGAAAAGTCAAAAATTGATAGTTCCCAGAAAAAAAATCAGCTAAAATTTTGCAATTTTTCGTTGCTTAATTTTGTTTTTGAGTTAGTGCAAATTGAACTTTCAACATATTGGGATAGAAGGAGAATAGTAAATAAAAATCAGCTCTCAACACTGCTACGGCATCATTGAAAGACGGTTTCAGAGAAAAAAATCAATAAAACGACGTAACCAAACTATAGCAAAGTTTTTAGATATGCGTGATGTTTTTTTTTCAGTTTTTGAATTGATTTAGTTAGAGACAGCCATACCATATCCAATCTACAAAGAAAGAAATCAAACTCCCACCAAAATGAAGAAAAAAAACAACTTTCGGGTGCTCAGTTCATTCAGGACTATATATGCAACTCGTTTTCACCAAAAAAAGGGAAGGTTGGAAAGATGAAAAATTGAAAAAAAAAATCATAGGTTTGGGAAATAGGTGAAAATAAAGAGAAAGAGAGTATGGACACGTCAAAACACGGCACTAATTGTATTTATTGCTTTTTTTGGTTGGAAAGAAATAGTAATGTATATTGGCACACGTCAAAGCACGCCTAACCTTTGGTTTTAGGCATCCGCGGGAGGACTCGATAGTATCAACCAGCCACTTGTCTTAAAATTATTGTCAATTAATATTAAAACGTGTGAAGAAGGTTGGAAAACACCAAGAGATAGTGTTTTAATTGGGAACTCGAAGAAAAAACTACCTATGGGAGCTAATTGTCGGTAGTGTTCGTTGCGTAGGGTTTTTAATCGTCTTTTTTCATCTTGGATCACGCACAGTTTAAGTGTGAATGATATGGATCAGATATAGGTATGGTTGGTATAGAGAAAGAGAGTATCAAACACAGGCAATCACCATGAAACTTACCCGATTCGTGGAGGGAACAAAGCCTGAAGTTGAGTGGTGAGTGGAAGTTGAACTTGTCCAGCGGCCAGCGCTAAAATGACCAACTTGGTGATTTTTGGTTAACACAGACAAAAACTGAATAGATGCGCGACACAAACAATATCCGTTGGTTATGGTGGTTGTGGAGGAATGGTAATGTTTAGCAGAAGCCAAAACACACTTGGGGGAGGAGAGAAAAACGGTTTTGTTGGCGAATCGTTGAATCTGTAACTAAACGTACCGGCTAGTTGAACATTTGTTCTTGGCTTGGCTCCAAGGTAGGCAAGGTTGACGTTGGCTTTTCTTCCATCGATGATTGGATTTGGATCTTTGCAGGCGCGATCAGCAGATGCTTTGTCTTTCATTGTCACCTAAAAATTTAAAATAATGAAAAACAATAATCTGAAATTTTTTGTACGAAATGATGTTCCGTATTTGATCTACTAGAAGCTAAACTTATACGCGCACTGTGAGCTTGACTATATCCGTTCCTCCAAAAAATAAAGATATTCTGTCAAATAATTAAATGTTTTCCGTGAAATTAGTAACCTTTTATTAGTTGACCAATTTTTCATATATCTTATAGGAACATAGATAATGGAGCTCAAAGTGCAAGATGTTATAATGATTACGGTAAATTAGTTCAGAACGCATGAATGAATTGATAAAATTATGGTGAGTCGAATTTTACCTACTAGTTCTAATTAAAACACAAATGAAAACTTTTAAAATCAAAAATTACAGTAATCCTGTTTCAACGATTTTGCATAAAACTACAGTCTTGTTTCACGCAATTTTGTCTGAATTTACAGCAGTTTCCTATTCGGTTCAATTCCTGCAGCAGGGTATAAGTACCGTAACCCCACTGTTGTTAATTCTCTAGTGCATCATCTCATTTACTCTAAAAAGTCTGCTTCGGTAATCCCATTTTCTCTTCTTAACTCGGCCCCATCCACTTGAACTCTTCATTGTTACATAATCATCTGTTGGAGATATAAGGGATAAACAAATTGTCTCTATTTATACAAACACGCGTGCAAATCATAACGAAAAAGCCGCCTGAGAGTTCCCGCGAACTTTTCGGCGCCGATCTTGGAGATTTCGATTTTTCCGCAAAACTTATTTTCGTAAAAACTCGTGTCCTCTCGTAGCGACCCCACCTCGAGAAAATATTTCTGTCCTAAATGAGTGAAACACGCAACAACACAAAAAAAAAACGGATAGTCGTGTGATGGGTGATTGATGATGATGAACCGTTTTATATTTCTCTAATTGACCTCGAAACAGGACCGCTAATTGTTTTAATTCTTTTGGGTTTTTCATGACTTACAAATCCGTATCCACGGCTCTTCTGTGTGTTGCGATCGGTGATAACAACGGCCTCCTCGATGTCTCCAAACTGTTCAAAGTACTCGTGAAGGGTTTTGTCACTGGTGTGATACGGTAAACCACCGACGAAGATTTTGGTGAACATGGTGTCACGTGAACCTGAATAATAGGAAAATGAAGATGGTTCTCGTTTTTGAAATTTTCTCTGGTTCTCCTGTTCAAAGTGGAACCATATGTGTGGTTCTCTTTCAAAATAATGAAACAGAAAGAGCTACTGAAAACTTTAAAAAAGAACAGTTCAAGAAACTCACCAACTATTGGTTCCGCAGTTGTCGATTGTGCCAGAGCAGCAGCGGCATGTACTAATGGATCCTGGACTTGACCGTACATTTTTGATTGAACTTTTGTGACACTTTTATGAAGCCTGAATCTTGGACTGGCCTGAAAGAGTCTACTTTCCAATAAATTGGAAAACACGATAAGAAAAGGGTGCATAGAAAGAAACATGGAGCAAGCAACATGGAGCAAGAGAAGAATCTGAGCCTATTGAAGTTTCAAAATTATCCTGAGAGATTTGAAACTTTACACTTTCTGCTGTCACTCATCAGCATTGTTAAATGATCGGAAACCATGAGGAGATCAATCAGGAGAGGGATAGAAGTGTGATAATTGGTTATATACTATCTATCAAAACCTAAAGAGATGAAATGGATAAAATGAAAAAGGATAAGACAGAGCCCCAATCGGAAAATTTGGCGCGGAGAGAAGGAGAGGCAAAATCTGTCTCCCGGAGCCCTCCTGTCAAAAGTTTCTCCTCTCCAAACAGAAGCCGAAACTTCTCTCGATCGCCTGTCTCACCGCGCAGCACAGAGCGAAGAAAAAAAAATTGGCTTGCTCTTTTCTCTGGTCAATTTTCCTGCCATAATATTTCACAATGAGCCGATCGGCAAACAACACCTCGAGAGTATCGATTTGGTGGTCATGTTGATCCAGAAGAAAAATCGATGAGCATGTGATTGAATAGAAAAACGAGCTTTTCCTCTCCCCAGCATCCCCCACCCAACACAATATCGGAAGAACTAAACTGACAACGAGTGGGTGGATGTGGCACGAAGATAGAGAGGGATGGGATGGAGAAGGCTCAATCAAAGGATGTGAAGAATAGAGAATAGAAGAAAAGGAGCAGTTGCTCCAGAAAAGATATGAAGAAAAACGAAAGAAAGAGAGACACCATTTCTGATCGGCGAGGATCATGAGGGAGGCAGTAAAAAGAGGAAAGTATGCCTAATTTGAAAAAGAAAAACAGAAGAAATGGCATAATCTAATAAGCAAGGATTACTGTAGAAAATTTCCCTGTCTCTTGCCAAAAATAGAATATAAACACAATTTGTTACGTTGCGATACAAAAAACAAAGAATACCGTCTTCACCAATGTGCAGAGATGCTCTGTTTGGACAATCCGAGAAAGGCATTGCAAACGGAAAGTGATGGAGTGGAGGGGCGTGGTCAGGATTCTCCTGAATCTTAAGAAAACAACTTTCGGGAAGAAAAGAAACACAAAAACCGAGATGCTCCTCCAGGACTCTTTAGTCTTGTTTTTCGAAATACAATTGCTTTTCAAATCAGTGCGTTTCGAGTAGTGTGGAGACTTTACCGCGCCGCCTCTCTCACCGCCTGATTAAACAATTGGAGGACTTGGAAAAGCACAATTGTTGAACGACTTGAAAGAGCCCCTCCACATCTGAATATGGCGAATTTATTGCGACACATTTGGAAATACATTTAAAAAAATATAGATTTTGTTAAGGATTCTGAAGTGGACCAGAGAAATCCTAGAAAAAAAATAGAGGCCATCGACTACGATAGTACACAGAATGATCTGGGAGGTGAACCATATCAGCAGCTAGCGGAAGTTTTCACTTTTTTCTATGTTATTTATGTCCGTCGAAGAACTTTGAAGACACATGATTTGAGAAGGAATGAGACAAAACGGTTTGTCACAAAAGGAGTGATTGATTAGAAGAGGTGAAGAAACATTATGATTTTCGTTAGCTGGAAATGAGAATATTGTCTAGTTTGTCTGAACTTGGCTTTAAAATAGAAACTACAGTAACCCGAAAGAAAACGTCAAACCATTAAAAAAGTCAGCTGAGAGTTCCTGGATGAGCGGCTGCTGCTAGGAGGGCAATAGAAAAAAGCAGCAAAAAAAAATAGAAGAAGAGGAGGTAGCAAAAATATATTTCGAGTGAAAAGAAAACTGGTCTTAAAGGAGGTTGGTTCAACGACCTCCGAAAACAAATAGGCAAGAAAAAAGAACCAACTGGTGGAAAAAGTGCGATGCGGGAGCACAAGCGAGCCACAGAACGGTCGACAAGAAACATGAAACTTTTTTCTTCTCCTGCCCTCAGAAACAAGGACAATTCTACAGTGCCTCTTCTTTTCCTCATTTGACTGTGTTTCGTTTTCGCGCCGAAAAAAACACAAGTCGTGAATTCTCTCTCCATCTCTCATAAGGACACATTTTATGATGTCGTGTCTTCCTTTCCAGGAGGTCTTTCTGATAACGGCATGCCAAACCTGCTGATGATGGTTGGTCGTATCCCCAAAAGGGGAATAAATAAAAAGCGCAAAGTCAATTATGATTACGCGTGTTTTCCAAAACCGCGCTGGCAATCGAATCTTGTCTTTTTCTTCCGATGATTCGGAGAAAGTGACAGAATTATGGCAGACGGGGGGAGGGGAAGTGTACGGATAGTCTAGGAAGTCTTATAAACAGTTGACCCGCAGAGAAGGATTACCACTAGCGAGTTATTGGCTGAGGTGGTCCGACAATAGCAGACGCGCCAGATGTGTCGCTACGATGAGACGATGGAGTAAAATAAAGGATTCATTGGAATGACTGTGCGTGCAACCATTATCATTTTTGCAGAAACAAGCGTCTAATGCATAGATAAGGATGACGCTGGATGCATAAATGTAAAATGAGGAACATCTTACACAAAATAGATATATAGGAAAAATATATGTGTATATCGGAAAGAGAGGGGATCTTAATTTGAAATTTTCAAATCTTGGAATTTTCGAACAAGGAAATGACTAAACATGGATTTCAATTGCCAATTTTCTTGTGGCTCGTGAGAGTCTCATTTCACCTCGTCTTCAACCTCTTCCTCCCCTCTCAATCAGTTAGACCTTCCTCTTTTCTAAGAAATTCGATTTACTGCTCCTTTTGTGTCTTCTGGAGAGAGTCAAAATACGACACCGTTTTACTATTCAGCAGTAACTGGGGAACGAAATTGAGAGTCAATTGATACCAAAAAGGGGGATTAATGATGGATCGAAAAATGAGAGGAACTGTATAAAGAGTGAGAAGAGGGAGGGAAGGAGAAGATATTGGGAAGAAGAAGAGTGGTTGATTGCGTTTATTTTTGCACAAAGAGCAGCTAATTGAACAAAGGAATTGAGAAATGGGACGGGATGATGACAAAGAGGAGAAAAATATGGAAGTTGTGGGCGGGGAAAAATAGGAAGAAGCACTTCCGAATTTCCAATGAAAAGTTAAGAAGTTTAATAGCAATGAGGGTGCCGATTTCAGCAGTTTAATTCACTCTGCCCTCACTAGCGACAGGAAACGAAAAGCCTACCAACTAACAATACACATAGTTAGGGATGAATGAGGCCCCCGTCGTCATTCATCCTCCCCCTTTTCTCTGCCCGCACGTTGTAAAGTGTCCAGGAATCGAATCCCGAGTCTGAATTCCAGTGCTCTTCTCCATCCTCTCTCTTTCTTCTTGTTTCCCGTCGGTTCGGAGGGAAGGCAACTGTCGAGCAGCTGCTGACAACGTAAACACCATTCTTCAACAGGTCACACAGGCCCTCCCATCGCCGAAATCGCTCTCTCTTTCTTTTGCTCTCAATCTAAGGGACGGGGCTCATGCACAGTCGTGTTTATGCTCGCCGTGCAGTCACCGATGGTTTGAGCACACAGATTAAGAGAGAATGACTGTATAAGAGCGAGAGAAATAAAGAGATCGATTTCAAGCATGATTCAGGTGGAAGTGTAATCGGAACGATTTAGCATGGTTATAGCAAAACGTCATGAAACGTTTTTTTTTTGGAAAATAGAAGAGACGTTCGGAATAAACGGAATAGACCAAATTGTTTATAGTTGGCAGGGCTGGATCAGATTTCAAGTATATTAACAATGTATATACTTTTGTTGGGTTGCATAAGGAATGACGTTCGTTTGTCGCGTTAGAGAGTATTTAGAAAATAATTATCAAAAAAATGTTTTGTGACTATAAGATCAATTGTAGTTCACTGTAGAAAAAACTGAACGTGAACTGTTTCAGAAATTATTGGAAAATTTGGATCTTTGTGATTTTACTTTACGATATTTACAAACTAATATCTAAATCTGACTGTTTTTTTTCACGAAATTAATGAGTTTTAATCATTAATTTCGCTCTTAATTCAACTTGTTTTTGCTTTTAATTCAACTTACCGCATTTTCGTTAATCACAAGATCAACTTTATTTGCCTTTTGACGGCAATTAACGGATTTCATCAAGTAGCAGCCCACCTAAGCCGTCAACTTTGATTTCAATTATCTCAATTTCTGTGAAGGATATAAAACTTTTGTTTACCCATAAATTATTCATCATAGTATCAAAAATATTTTATTAGTGGGCACAATTTTGATATCTTTTACAGGAAGCAAGATTATGATCAAAATTATATTCAGCTTCATTAGAGGAAATACGGTTGATATGTGCCGATAAACGATATAAAAAGTCCATTAACTGAATTTGAGCAAATGCTGATAATATTGCGACAAAGATTTTGTTAATTGAGAATCTTTTGATATCTTTTTTATGAACGGAGGTAACGAAGCTTGAAATGAATTTTTAATATTTTTCAAAAAGAAATACAGTAATGGAATTCAGATCATAGAACAAATGAAGTTTTCCTGCTGAGCAACATTTCAACCAGTAATTCTTGTATTAATAAAATCTGAGTTCAAACAAAAATTCAGAAACTTGCCTCATGTGACTTTTCTCTTTCTCCTGACCTTCAAAATTATCGAAAACAAATATTCGCACGCATGAGCCAGGAGAGCACTCACTGTGCTCTTTTGTTTTCGACCTAATGCAGGTGTACGTTTCAATGAATTGAGCGGTCCGTGGGAGTTCAGCGCTTCGTGAAAGGACGTGTGGGACCGTCCGAAACCCCCTCTACGACTTTATTTTGTCTTTTATATTTGGACATCTCAAAATGTGACGAATAAAAGAACACGACGATGTGCGCACATCTCCACCGCCGGATGGATTCACCCTTTCCCCACTACTTGTCTTCTTCTGTTGCCCTTCTTCTACTTCTTCATTGTTTTCTTTTCAAAAAATTCCACTATTCAATTCAATGAATATCTGAGACAAGAAGAAAAAAGTATGACGGACATATGGTTGCCAAATGACCTAGGTCACTGATGATGGTCCTTTTTTTCGGAAAGAAGAGAAGTTTTAATGGCGTCGGAAAATTAGAAAATTGGAGATAATTCAAAAAAGAGAAGAAGACTACAGCAAAGTGCTAAACGTTTTTTTGAAAGAAACTTTTTCATTTTGATGACGAATCAAAAGAATCGTGGCGGCTTCCAACCGAGAAAATGTTTATATAGAAAAAGCTGGCAATTTTCACTCCTCCTCCCACATCCAACACCCTTTTATGCTCTTACAATCTATTGTCCAAAATTTTACAATAAAATTTTGCCATTGAATAGGTAGAAAAGCCCTTACTACATAATTTGCTGCTTCCGGTGTTAGGGACGAACGAGACACAGATGGCGAAACACAAAACCACAGCTCCAATAGAATAGGGTAACGACACAAAGTTTTTCGACTCCGGACCACATCAATTATTGAACATTGCGCTTTTTGAGCAAAAGGTGGGGACGGAAGAAGAAAGGAATTTTCGAAAAACCGGCGAGTATAATTCAGTTGACAATGAGAATGGTTTTGTGACCAGCTCTTGCTCTCCCGCTCGTTTCTTTTCATTTCCAAACATATGGCAAAAAGGGCTTAAAATCTTTGCTAAAGGATTATGAGTGGTCCATAGTTTTCTCTTGGTGCCAAAACTATGGTTCATCGGAGGAGGAGGGTAGAATGGGATTGGTGGGATTGGAGTCGAATGGGAAACTAGGAAACTACACGGATTAGAGATCGTTATGCATTTTATGGGGTATTGAGAAAGTCATATAAGTATTCAGTGGGAAATAATTGACTTGTAATAGAGCCCTAAGGATGAAAGAGAAAACCGAAGAAGACAATGGGATGGAACAACTGCTGCTTTCTGTGATGTAATAGGTATATAGTAAAAGGTATTACAACGAGTTAGGGGAGTCCTACGGTACAGAAAGAGAAAGAGATGAGAACAAATGAGCAGACCTGATGGTAGGAAAATAAGAGGGAATTGTGAAAAGTGTAACTTTACAACGAATCGTTCGACACAGAGAGCACTCGGCCCTTGGATGACACTGTGAATACAAGTTAGAGGGCGCTAGTAAAAAAGTTGTGTCGGAAGGCAGGGGAAAAGGAAGAGTGAGGAGGATGGTATGTGATTAATGAGCACAAAAGATGGCTAATTCGGACTACATTAGGGCAGAGAGGTGGTCTAATGAGTCTGAGTCTGATTTTCAAATTTGAAGGGAAATCAATAATTTCAAATATAGGTTTCGAAATCGGAAAAAATGGACAATTTAGAACCATAGAACAATTATCTGGTAAAAAGAGATGAATCCATTGGAAATCAGAGAATCTCTATAGCAAATATTTTGTCATAAATCAGATTTCTTTTCTCAAAAATTCAAATTTTTGTGAAAAAAAACCATCCAGGTTTTTAGATTTTTGAAATTTCAAAAGAAAGAGTAATTTGCCCTGGTAAATGATTATTTGATAAGAAAACCAAGTAATTAGACAAAAAAGACTACGAAATTTACTGAAATATTTTTGTCGTGATTGAAATGAAGTACAAATAGTTTTCTAACTTTTCAAAAGTTCCAGATCTTTGGATTTGACTTTCGAACAAAAAAATTTAAAAAATATCCGGAAGTTTTTAAAAACTCCAAAAAGCTTGAAAATGCCTTCTTTGTCTCAAAAAATTTTTAATATAAAGTAAATATAAAATATGAATAAAAATACTCAAGTTAAAATTAAAATCCCGTTTTCAATCAAAAATTTGAATATCGAGAAGTGTTTTTTCTCAGTGAATAACCGCTCTTTAAACTTTCTAAAAGCTCATTCATCTTAAAGAAAACTCTAAAAATATGGTCTTGATGTGCAGATCTTCGAATCCCAAATACATTCTAGAAGCCAAAGTTTATGAACGTAAGTTGTGGTGTCCACGAGTAGCTCATCAATTATTAAACGGTGAAGCTGCGTAGAAAAAGTTTGGGTTAGATATATCTGTATAAATAGAGACATAAAAAGGCAAACATATGTTACATAGCTTACAATGAATTTTCATTTCAACTAGAAATCCACGTGCTCCGTAAGTTTTTTCTATAATTTTGCTCTTCCTCATCCACTATATCAGCCTCGAGCAAAACTGCAGATGCCGCGATCTTTATTATTATTATATATTTCAATTCAGTTGGAAATAAAAATGATGAAGCAATGACCTCCCCTCTCACGCACTTCTATAATTAATTAAAATATGGGAAAAAAATAGAAGAACTGGTAAAGAACGCAGAGTGCATTGCGATATGAAAAATTCAGAAAATTGAATTCAGCCCAGAAGAACAAGAGAATATGAAAAAGGGGAAAAAAGAAAGTGATTGACAAATAGAGAAAGAGTGAAAAAGAGTTGGTCCGGCAGGGGTTCCCTGGAGAGTTCGCATTTCTTCGCATAACTAATTGTGATCTAAGTTATTTTTTAGAAAATGGGTGAAAACGAAAATATGGATGGTGAGGTACTGAGAATAATATCTTTTCTTTGCTCGCATTTGGGAGATTTGAAAACTAAGAAATTATTTTGTATTATCCGAATTCCCGAATTCTTATTTTGCCGAATGGAGAGAGACCAAAGAAACAATGAAAAGACTACAAAAATATTGTTCGCAGAATTTTAAATTCGTCTTAATTGAACTTTAACTGAAGCGCTTGCGTTGCGCCTAGTCATAATTTGATCAGCTACATGTGAATAAATTGAACATACAAAACCGACATACACCACCATTGAGATGACAAGTGCACTCTCCACACGTGGACTTCACGCTCTTATGACTTTGACGATTCCTGACATGGAGTGAAAAAATGCTAACTTTTTTTCTATTCTAGGGACCGAGGAGATGAATAATTAATTGATGAGTGAAACGGTTTAGGTGAATCAATCTCATTTGTTAGCTCACGATCTGATTTGTTTGAGGAGGAGCGAATGTGTGACAAGACGTGTCCAAAATGACATCCCCGGTTCTTTTCGGCGAGAATTTCTCATTTCTTTATTTTGTGATTCTACCGGATCAAATGATTATAATGATTTTACTGTTTTTGATACTTCCAAATTTATTTTTTCAGGTTCATTGTGTAAGTTGTAGATTTATTATTATTTCTTTTTAAAAATTTTTTCATTTTCAGCAAAATGAAACCAATTTCTTAAATGATTATGGACATTATGCTGATAGTCGAATGAGAGCAATTGGAGAATATTTCAGTGATTTAATGGGATGTGGAGCTGAAGGATGGTGCGCTTTCAGGTGGTAAGTTTCTGGGAAAATATGAAGATTGGTTCAAAAATGCTTGTTATTTTTAAATTAGATAACAATAATTTCTCATAGATAACTTTAAACTATGAAAGATTGTGAAAATATTAATGTTTCCTTTTTCTTGAAAATCTTAAATGCTCTCAAACTGTCGATTTGTGAAATTAGAACATTCAATTTTTTTCAAACATTCAATTTTTTTCAGAAATAAAATGAAACTAAGTACACTTGAATTGTTTAAATACCGTATTCCATTTATTAGGAACACACCGAAACCGTTACCTTTGAGCTTAATTATCTCAATTCATATGAAAGATATTAAAATTTTGTCAAACTGTAAGGTATTAGTGATATTATGATAAATAATTAATTGGTTGACAAATTTGTGACATTTCTCACAGGAATCGAGATAATTGAGCTCAATTTGTCGGGTGAGTTTTTATTGAAGGAAATGGTAGTTTCATTTTTGGGTAGAATCTGCCGTATTTCTTCGGAGGCCAGATCCATATTGGAACTTTCACATGAATCACCTCGAATCACCATCGTGTGAATGTTTGATACCTTCATTAATGATTGATACCGTAAACACTCTGATGATGCATCCCGAACGATCAACTTTGAGCTCATTTTTCTTCAAAAATTCTCTGCAAAAGATATCAAGAAGTGGTCAACTGACAAATGTTTATTTAGTTTATCAAACCTACTTTGTCAGTTGATCACGTTACAATTTTTTCACAAGAAACGAGATATATTGACTCAAGTTTGAAAGTTAAGGGTGTTTACGGTAATCGCATTCAAAGTGCTATTATTAGGTTGATAAGAAAGTTTCTTTCTTTTTGGCAGAGTTGTCTTTGAGGATCGATATCTGGCGCTCCAAGTGGTTTAGCGGGCCAATTTTTTTTTGTTAGAAAGCTGTGTTCAGTGGCTATTAAATCCTAGATTTTCAAATTTTCATTTCTCTTCGTGTTGAAGAAATGGCAATTATTTTAGTCCTTATCCGAGTGCACATTGGCAACTTGATTAAATTTTTGTTTTTATTTGGTCTTCAAACAGCTGGTATTTGGAAGAAAATTGTGGATGTATATAAGAGACATGTTCCGTCATCGCCTACAATTTGCCTTTTGTTTGAGGAATTCCAAACTAGAGAGTTCAGTTTGAATGATGCCAAAGACCTAGTGAGTCGGATCTTCACCAATTGCTAAAAACCGGGGAGGTGCATCCATTTCAAACCATTTGTAAAATGTCGCAGGCATTGTCTTCTAGTCAACCAAGTATTGTGACCGGATTGAAGTCTCTTGGCAAAGCCAAAATCTGGGTTGATTCGTACACCGTGTTTTTCCGGACTACAATGTTTCGTCATTTAGACATGGGTATGTTTCACCTATCATTTCTTCGCACGTTCAAATGGCTGGATGATGTCATTACAGTAGATGATAAGTGCGTAAGTTACTCTGTCAATGTGCGGAAGGGTCAGTTGATTGCCAAGAAATAGCTAGCTCTGGACGTCCAAGAACCTAAATTTTCCTTAAAAATAGGTATGCTATGAGTTTGATGGTCGGTCAAAGTAATGGACACTGGGAAGTTTTAGTTGAAGGTACCACTATAACTGCCACCTTTTAATTTAATTTGTTTATTGATCAGGTGTAATAAAACATTAGAGGGCAGGACATGAAAGACTCAGAAAAAATGCCCCTCACGAGGCCGATCTGAGTAGGGGAGGGGAAACGGGATAATTTAGATATTTGACACAGGAAAGATGTAACCGGTAGAAAAAGAAAAATAGGGGAGCAAATGTATCAATAACGGGTAATACTGGAAGAAATTAAAAATTCAAACTCGGAAGGTAGGAGAAATCGGGTAACTTGGGAAGTGATGGAAATCGGGTAAGTTGGGAAGTGATGGGTAACTTGGGAAGTGATCCACAGGGAAACAATTGAAGAAAAATAGTCATAGGAGTAGGGCTGAACAATAATTAAGTTCATAGGGCGACGAGGGGAGGAGGAGTATTTGATATGTGCATTTAGGTTAGGAAAGTAGGCGGAGCCATTTAAAAATTTATAGAAAAGAATTAGTTGAGCTTTTAGCCTACGATGTCGAATGGAGAACATATTGAGGATAGAGAGACGATCAGAATAGGAACTGTACTGGATATTACAACGCTGGAAAATACACTTAGAGAAAAATCTTAAGGGAGATTCTAGTTTTAGAGCAAGGCGAGAAGAAGGCGGAGGGGAATAAACTACAGAACAATATTCCAGATCGGGAGAACATAACATTTGAAAAGATGAATGTAGAATTCTGGAGACTTAGATCTAAATGACTTTAAGAGTTGTTTGGAACGGAGAAGAGCTAAAGATGTGATTTTGAGTGGGCAAGAGGGAGATGGTTGGCGGTAGCCCAATTTACAACCATGTTGATACCAGTTTGAAGGGCGATTGGGTCATGAGAATACAATCTGATATCATCAGCAAAGGCGGCAAGGTGAAGAGAGGGGATTTGTTCAAGTTCTAAGAGCAGATCATTGATGAATATGAGAAATAGTAAGGGACCGGAGACTGATCCTTGAGGAACACCAGAGGGAATGACAGAGGAAGGGGGTCCAATAAAATCATAGATTTTGACAGAGAACGTTCGACCAGAGAGAAACGAGGAGAACCAAGCTACGAAAGATTTAGGGACTCCAAAGCTAGCAAGTTTCTGGATGAGAAGTTGATGATGTACCTGGTCGAAAGCTTTGCGGAAATCGAAAAAGACGACGTCTAGTGTATTGTATTTCAAAAGAGTAGCTTTATAATTCAGAACAGATTGAACTAGAGAGGTGGTGCAGGATCTGTTGGAGAGAAAACCATGTTGAAGACTACTGAATTGATGGAGGAATTCCCATTTGATGCGATCACATACCAATCGTTCGAAAATTTGAGCGAATGGGTCAGTAAGCGAAATGGGGCGATAGTTTTCGGGCGATGAAGGAGAACCCTTTTTTGGTATGGGAACGACTACTGCGTGTTTCCAAGAGTCGGGTACATGTGACGTGGAGAGTGAGTCAGAGAAGATAATCGATAAAGGTAATGCTAGAGTGGTGGCGCATTTTTTAATGATAAAGTAATTGGCCGAATGGGGAGAATAGCCACAACGAGGCGGGAGTGAAAGAAGCTTCTCAATTATCCAGGGATCGATTATCCAGCACCTTGTGTAGTTCATAATTAGAAAATATATACTTGACAGTCTAATCAAAAGAGGAGAAAAAACAAAAGTTTGCTTCCAGTGCCGGCAATGGGAGATCGCTTGTGAATAGAGGGATCAGCCATAAATTCATGACCTTTTGCTGAATTTTTATTTTGCACTCATCGTATTTTCCGGACCTTGCCCTTCAGGAAAAGTAATATTTTGAAGCTCTTAAACGTCATCTGGATAGAGAATACTTTAAGTGAAAAGATGGCACAAAAAAGGAGTAGTCCCACTATTTCAATCGCAGCCCTCCTCGTTCTGGGCCGATGAAATCAAGAAATTACCGGAGCGTTGCCAGACAACTATTGATGCTAATGGATGTTACTTTCATTGACCTAGCTCCCTCCGCATGGAGAAAAATTTGATCAAAAGTTTTGCCAAAAAAGGAAGAAACTTTCTTATCAACCTAATAAGAGTGACGTTCTATCAGAGGGAAGCCGCTAATTTTTCACTTTCAATTTTGTTTTAAATATTTAATATTTTTAGTTGCCCAACAGAAAGACATCAACACATCGCTCGAACGAATCAAGCGCCACGCCGAGTTTATCCAAATCCTGTATTCGGAAACTCTAGAAACATTCAAAACACTGGATCCTCTCGCCGTACAATGAGTATGAGCCGATATCCATATGTAAACCGTAATCCGGCAGTGAAAACCACAACGGTAGCTACTCTTTTGAAATCTTGTGCTAACGCTTGCATGCCACAATGCAGTCCAAGATGCTTACAGGTTCGTGAAAAACTATTGACTATTTTTCTGTTTGGTTTCAGAGATACAACCAAATTGTTGCTTCCTTTATGAACTCTTTAACAGCAATTGATGTGATGGGTCAGCCTGTTAATGAGGAGCCCAGAAAAGTAAGTGCACTACTTGAGTTTTTTATTTCATTGTTAATTTTCTAGAATGTTAGATTTTCTCCTAAAAAGAATGTCGAATGTCGCGATGAGTGTATGCCATATTGTACTCCGCAGTGCTTGGACGCTTATTCAGCGGCTGAGCTGAATTCAAAGCGTAAAGTTTGCAAAGCTGGTGAGAAAATTTTTCAAAAAGATTATACTCATTTTGGATGATCGTCTGAAATCCTTTGTAGTGTGTATGCCGGATTGCACAGAAGAATGTGTCACTGCTCCACCTCTCATGGTTCCTTGTATTTTTGATAACATCTGCCACTGTCCAGCTGGGTAATTTTTCCCTCCATATTTTTGCCAAACCCCTCTTTGATTCCAGCTACGTGAGATGTAGTGAAATGACATGCTGCATGAAATACAAAACGATGGCGGTCCGATATAGAAACCGAATGACATCAATGAGTTTCAGTGATGATGACGAGCATGAGAACAAGGTTAGAATGAGCCTAAACCTGCTTATCGCAAATAATTACACCTGTTTTTAGAATTCTGGAAATGAAACATCGGTTTATATGTCAGAGTTACGTAATATGGGAGGTGCACCTGCGGCGATCAAATCTACTACGATATCTATGAGAACATTACCCAATAATAGTGAGCAAAAACCAATAAAATTCAGGAATTTCAAAATCTTTTCAGGCTCAATCGTGTACTACCCAGAGCAAGGAAAGGCTGAAATTCTCAAGAACGATGGAAGTATAGTGGTAGAAGTGATGGAGTCTGCTGTTGAAGAAGACAATAAATAATTAGTTTTCTAGTTTTGCTTTGTAAATTTCTGTATGTACAATGTACAAGAAATGAAGTGGTTTATTATTTATCAAAGTGCTATTTATGTGAGCGGAGTGAGTGCAGAGCATTATTTTAAGAACATGAATTAGGGTACAGTTTGTTTGGGGTGAGACAGTGAGAGAAACAGAGACAGAGACAGAGAGAGAGAGAGAGCAAGATTTTCAATACATTTTCACAAAATGCACAGGGAAAAAATTGAAATTTGATAAAAGGGGGATAGATACAGGGAGAACTATACACCATATAGGACAAGGGGGAAGAGAAAAAGGAATGCTACGTTTTATCAGTGTTTTTCAATTTCGTGGTTCATGATTCATTACCACTCGGCAAAAAGATCGCGTTCACGTTGACTACACAATGGTCCACCGGTTGTGTCTTCTTCGTAGTCATCGAAGTTTCCCGTATCTCCTGGATGATACAATGTTGGAACGATTGGTGGCTGAAAAATTGGAATTAAAAAAATTCCAATCAATTTTTTTACCTCAACTCTCAGATGAAGGGTATCATCCCAATTGACCTTCTCGAACCATTTATGGTCCTTGACATCTTGTGTGCCATTCTTCATGCACCCGATGCGCTGGGTTCTATCAACCTCCAGCAGTTTTTTGACGAGATCTCTGAAAATATTTTGTTCTATGCAATTTCTGTCAAAAATATAATTACTTTGCGGCAAGATTGAAGCTTCTTGGAAATTTGAGTTTATGCTCGATAATCGAATCGTAGATTTCGGCGGTGGTCTTTCCACGGAATGGTGGCTTTCCAACCATCATCTCATAGATCAGAATTCCCAACGCCCACCAGTCGACACCCTTGTTGTGACCAGTTCTGGCCAGAGACTCTGGTGCAAGGTAGTCCGGAGTTCCACAGATTGTGTAGGTTCTGAAATTGAGAGTTTGCTTTGGAACCGGATTTCCGACCCCTGACCTTAACCCTGAAACTAAGTGTCATATGTTGCATTTTTTTTTTCCAAGTTCACTTGTCCGAGCGGGACCCAAGAACATAATCTGCGACCAAAGAATTTTCATGGCCAGTCACGTTATCCCTCTAGACTCTATCTAACTCTGATGAAATCTGGTTCAAATCATCAATAGATACTTCGGAAGAACCCGTGGAGGCAATAAATCGAGAGGTAAAAGTAGCATCTTGATGAACCCAGATGAGATGAAAAGAAAAGAAGTATTTATAAATCCCGTGTGTTGATCAGATTTTTGAACCTTCTAATCCTACTCTTAAAATCGGAACCAAAATCTTGATTACTTTCACTCTCTCGAAAGAAAAAACACAATGGGCCAAACTTCAAAACATCACCCCCTCTCCCACACCCACACAGGAGTCGTATCAGTTGGTGGTGTTACGTCAAATTATTTCAAATGGGTTCTTGTCTTATCACTGGTGGTCATTCGTTCAGAGACCAAGGTCTGGGGGGGAGATAACTATATATTTTTAGAATAGTCACCAAACACTAACCTGTCGCGGAGTTCTTTCGCAAATCCGAAATCAGCCATTTTGATGTGGCCTTCTTTGCTGAGCATCAAGTTTTCTGGTTTTAAGTCTCGGTAGACCTGAAGAACAAAAACAACATTTTCAGGCAAAAGTTCTTGTTTTGACTCACAATTCCGAGGGAGTGAATGTACTCCAAAGCACACACGATCTCTGAAGCGTAGAAGCGGGCCATTGAGTTGGAGAAGGATCTAAAAAGGATTAGAGGAGTACATTTCACAATTCTAAAGTCCCATTCTGCTTACCTCGATGCTCTGAGGTACGAAAACATTTCACCTCCTGGAACGAACTCCATAATCATGTACAAGTTGTTGCTGTCCTTTTCTGAAGCGTACCTGGAAATCTTTAGGCTTAACGAATAAGTTCCCAGAAAAAATCAGCCTACATTTTTACAATGAACGGATGCTTCAACTGAAGAAGAACACGCTTCTCGTTATGAACGTGTTGAGTTTGACGCATGTCAACGACACGACGAATATTGAGCACTTTCAGCGCATAATGTGCTCCACTAATCTTGTCCCGAGCCAATTCGACACGTCCGAAAGTCCCTTTTCCTGAAAAAGTTGTACTTTTCAGTTTGGTGTCCTTCATTTGGTTTTTCGTTAAATGCTCTATTTGATGGTCACTGGTCAAGAAAATGATAGGGCTTGAGACACACGCTCATCGATCAGATAAATGTTGCACAGGGAATGACGGGAGGGGATATCTTCTCATCTTTTTTCCCCGTTTCTTTTTTCTGAGGTGGATGGACATTTGGATATTAGTCAAGACGGATATTCAGATATTTTCTCTATTCGAAATGAAATTTGAAAAATGCGTTTTCCTCAATTCGCACGTGTTGTTGGGATACATTTTTTCGCACAATAAACCATAGTTCGAATTTTGTTTAGCTATTCAAGACGAACACATGAAAAAAGGTGATTGACAAAGAAAAATATACTTCCTCATGTTCCTCATGTTCCTTCTAAAGAGGCTTACAAGCTGTGTCTTGCAAAAATATTCAAAAATCCCTCAAAAAAATCTGACAAACTCTCGTTTTGATGCAGATTTATCAAAGTGGCCCCATCAACTATTTTTGAGTGTCTTCTGGCTATATGTCGCACATTACTTTTTTGTGCTCCAAAAAAAGGAAGTGAGGTTCTCATGGGAAAATAAAAGAAAATGGTGACACGAGAGCTTGCAAATTTTTTTTGCAGCTAGCGGCTTATGACTTCTTGGATATCAGCTGTTTTTGAATTGGAGAAGGAACGCCGGATTTCTATTATTTTTAATTTTGAATGAAAATTGAAAACAGCTTTCAGGACAAAATAAAAGAAAATCAAAAAGCCAGAAATTTACATCAGGCTTCAATTTGGTTTTTGGAACTCTCCCAGAATACAAATCAAATCTAGAACATTATTTTGATGGGTTCAACAAGAAGTTTACATGTCCCCTCCAGTTTCGGGTTTCCATTCTCCGCTATACGATTGTCGCGCGGGCTCCCAAAAATAGCAGACAAAAAGAAAAGCACCAAAAAAAGAGAAGGGGGTTCCTAAGCTGGCACTTATGAATTTTTTACAAGTACTACAACTAGCACGTTTTTTGTATAGAGATTTTTTGGTTCTTGCTCTTTTCTTCTTTTTCCGATTATTCCGGTTGCCGGAGCTCGCGAACAAATAATGCGAGAATTGTATTGGAGCGCTATAGGCTCTAATTACAGACACGTTTTCCACGAGAAGCACATTTTAAGAATCACATCAACTCATCATTGGGGAGCCCTCCCGAGAGTTCTCTCCGAAAGCAAAATGATTGAAGCGTTACACTCTTCGCACCGGAGGGTAGTGTATTCTGTCGTCATCATTCTCTGTTCTTCTCGTATTAGTTTCGTGTCGGAAGAGAAAGAATATTTCCGTTTTTCATGTGTTTCTTGATTTTGACAGCAGAATGTATGATGGGATATGATGGGAGCGAGGACCGATTTTGCAGGTAGTTTGGGCAGCTGATTGCTGATTTTTTGTCTTTTCAACTGGTTCGTTTGGCCGGAAACTGGCATATCACTAAACCGAAAGATCCCCCATCTGATGTAACTTTGGAACAGAAGGAGGAAGCAATTTTTTGTTGATTGCTTTGATGAGTTGATGACCGCATGGGTTTAGCAAAAACATCAGCGGTGTTGATTTTCAGTTTTTTTTGTTGATTCTAGATTTCAGTTTTTTTTTAAATCGCAAGGATCAATCGGGCGTCGGTTTGCAAGAAAGGGGTGAATTTCTATCAATTTTCGGCTCATTTTCTGTTATTTTCTTTTGAAGCAAAGCTGTCTATTTTGTTCAAAAGTTTTTGTTCCCGGTTGTAAATCATTCCACTACACTTCATTATGAAACGGCAGATCATTTGATCTGTATCGGCGACCGCCGGCAAAAGCTCGTTTGATTAATTTTCACCCATCGGCCACCGCCGGGTGTGAAGAACACAATGGTTTACGTCATACGGTAGCATTTCAACATGGTAAATATTGGGTCGGGGGAACGAGAGACGAGTGCGCTGAAGTTGAATACCGAGACTAGAGGCTCAAAAATTTTTGTTCGGTCGGTTTTTTTTCTTTCAACTGATATGAAGGTGGTTTTGTTAATTCTTAATCGCATGAAACGGGAGAGAGGGCAGATTGATAAACTGAAAAAAGAACGATGTTCGTAGTTTTGTTCCTAATGAATCTTGGAAAAGTGAGAGCTATGGGAGATCGAGAGATACAATACTTTTCTAACATTAACATAACTTAAAAAATCTGAAATCTGGAGCTCCCTCTATCACCCACTCTTCTTGACTTTTCACCTAGACTAAAAATACATCCACAAGCTTCGTTGAGTTCGTCTCGCGGATTGTGTTGAAAAAATCAGTTGTTTATATAACCGCGAGACTGAGAAAAGAAAAAGGAAAACTGAGAGTTCGAAATCGTCCACTATTTGCATTAAAAACCTTGTAACCGATACATAAAAAATCTACTAGACTTTCAACCTACGAACTGAACAAAAATAGTACGATTCAAATCTCTGATCTACTAGTGCCACCACCCCATCTACTCACCAATTGTTACAATACGTTCCAACTGGCTCAATGAGAAGGATTCACGCGTTGGCGTGATGCTCAACTTCATGTGAGTTTCCTCGGCAAGCTCCTAAAACTCCGGAAAAATTAACCAGGTACTTTGAGTTTAAACTTACATCCACTTGTTGGTCGCCACGACTGTTGTTGTTGGTGTCAAATGTGAACGAGGCTGAGCACTCGTTGGAGCAACTCTCATCTTCGACTGATTCCACTGATGATGTCGAAGAAGACATCTGGAAATAAGACTTTGAATAAAACAAAACAAAAACGGAGAGGTTGACTTGTTCTTCTAAATGATGTAGACCAGCCAAATGAACAAATGGGGGCGGTTAAGAGGATAAACTTCTAACGATAATCTTGAGCAGGAAGGTGGGGATGTAGAATTTCTAACTTACTAGAAGGATCTACAGATTTCGTCTATTCCGTCTATCCTTACAAAGATTAGAGGCGGATTCTATCGTGCTATGTAATTTTTTGGGTATATCTTCTAGGTATCAATACCAAAAATAGATGCATATTGAAGAAGGAGGAGGAGAATAAATGCTACTATGATAGAACAAAAAACAAACAACTTTGGACAGAAACACAACACTATCAGAAGTGTAAGAAAACTTGTAATATATGAAAAGAAGGAGAAGCGAAAAAAAAAGTGATTCAGAATTTGTACTGTTAAAGAAAACAAGAAGTAGAACTGGAAGCAAATATAAAATATATATTGGAAGTAGTATAATGGAAAAAGTCGTAACAGTAAACGGAAGCCTCGGAAGAAAACTACACATGAAGGAAATGGGCGTGGCTTGAGGAGAGCACAGCGGGCAGGCTCAAGAGAGAATGAGATCACTGCAGAGCACGATAGGGGCGTGGTCCCCAAGAGAGAAAGGCCTCGATGGTTTTCCCACCTTTTGCCACCATCGTCTTTTTTTTGCTGCGCTCTTCGGGGAGGTACTGTTCGAGTGCACGTGAAAAAAAAACGGGAAGGAAAAATGGAGTTGCTCGGAAGAGAGAAAGAGCAAGAAGGAAACAGTAAAATGAGGGCGATGCGGAGTGAGAAGCGGAAAGAAGAATTGAAAAAAAGAAATGAGGAGAAGAGGAAAAGCAATCCTAGTAGTAGTAGTAGTCGTCACGGACCACCCTTTTTTTTATGGTGAAGACTCACTTCAAAATGAAGCAAAAGGGGAGAGAGAATATGGCTTTTTACTAATTCTGGAGGAGGATTAGTTTTCTTGTTTGGGAAGAAAGCAGAGAGAGAGGAAGTGGAAGGTAAAGCCTATAGTATGCAGATTAGAATATTTTTGATTTATGAATTATTCAAGGATCCCTTTCTTTCTTGCTTTTTTCTGCAACCAGGCACATCCTTCATTTTTAATAGATTTTTTTCTGGCATTTTATATAATTTTGAATGGTTAATGATAACTGATCTGTGGTTGGATTATGATTTATTTCTGATGGAAACAGTCGAATTGTGGGAAAGGTTACATCAGTTACATCATAAAATGACACGGAAATAATCCTGAATTTCAATTTTTCGAACCGAATTAGTACGCGCAAATTTTGATGTTTCACTGAATTCGTGTGAAAAAAGTGGGACAAAGACATAATGTAAATCCAGATTTTGATGGAAATTGCAGGATAAGTTAAAATAGTCTATCTAGAAACTTTTGAAAATTTTAGAATACGTTCACCAGTATCAGTTTCAGTACCAAAAATCGCGCTTCCAGTGCAAAAAAAGTGATTTTCAAATTGATTTTCTAAATTTTAGGACGTTTCAGAACATGAAATTTTCGAGGAAATATTTGAAATTTCAAATTTCGTGAAATTCTAAGTATATCACAAATTTCATCTTTTGTACGTCCTAGGACTTGAGAAAGTGCCTTGGAAAAGTCGCTATTTTTTCATTGAAAACACGATTTTTAGTACTGAACCTGATATAACTTGGTTGTACCTTGCAAGCGGATACCGAAATTTTCAAAACTGTCTAGATAAGTCATTCATATCTTATCCTAAGGTTTTCAAAGAAATCTGGGTTTACAAGAGGTTGAAGTACTCTTGTGAAATTATTGCAAACTGATGCCTTTATTTGTACTTGGGTTCAGATGGCAATCACACAAAAAATGTCATTGAGCAAACCTCAAACGACTTTCTTTTTTGTGTATTCTGTATTCTCCGTATGTTGATACAAAACAGATGGCAGAATGGCAACAGATGAGAATTGATGGGAAAACGAAAGATGAAGCGAAACTTCACAAAATAGAATCCTCGTCTTGGGAGGACTAAGTCTCGGCAAAAGATCAGGTCATGAGAGTCCAGATGTTTTTTTTTCAGTTTTATATTTTAAAAATATTTTGAGTCTAGAAGAAAAAAAGAAGCGGTCATTGATGAGAAATTGGCTTCTCAACCTTCTGACACCAATTTTAGCTGCCAAAAACAAACAATAATGCTTCTCTTTTTTTGGTCCGAACAACATGTATTTACAATTCGTACAGATGTAAATATTTCGGCCCGGAAGTTATGAGCCGAATGAAAAAAAAACTGGCGGAAAAGGCAAAAGGTCGGTTTGCCGAAGAGGAGGAAAAAGGTTAAGTTTTGGGCCAGCCGGTTTTTTTCAATTTCATCCCCCAGGAAGAAACAACATGAAAAGGAAGCGTTTTTGAAAACGAGAAAGTAATTGAATTCCTTCAGGAGAAGAAGACACGACTCCACTTTTAGCCTTTCTAGTTTTGAAACCGAAACTCAGAACCCCCGCGCTCTCAACAAAACAAAACAGAGTCAAATTCCCAGTAAAGCACAAAGAACCAAAACTAGTTTCGTGGATTTCGTCCATTTCACAACTAATCCATCAGGTTGGAGAAGAGAAAGAGAATGCCAATTTTCGTCGTCCCCATGCAAAGCCGAGAGGAGAAAATAATGACATGCCGTTCAATCTTTCAATCTTTTGCATCAAACTGCGCGATATATACTACAACGAATACGGCTCGCTTATTTTTTTTTTGGGATTCAAACGCAATTGAGGGAGAAGGAAAATGAAAAATTGTATATTCGTACTATACATTTGGTCGCGCAAAACAAGAATTGAAAATGCAGAGGAGCCAATGCTCGCAGAGCAAAAAAATTTGGAGTCTCGAAGCAAAAAGCAAAACAGAGAGTCCCTTCGTGTCCCAGTTTTGCAGAAGAAAGGAAATGGAAGGAAGAGAAAATGACCATTGGAACTAAATTCGTTCCCAAATTTGTCAAAAACACAATCAAGTGGGGGATAGGCTGAAAATGAACAAATCCATCCCAGTCTGTCTAGCCAATTTTGAGTTGACCTTGTTCGCAGGTTTTTCTGTCCAAATGTTACTCACGTCACTTCAAAAAAAAATGTTCTCAGGAATTCTTGTGTTGTATTATTTTTATGCATTTTTCGCATGATCCCATGCTCGCTGACGCCTAATTGAATTCCGGAAATTTCCAGAAACATGGCTGAAACACAACTCACCCAACACGAAAACCACATCCTAGCACGTTTGCCGCCTTTCATAATTGAACAAAGTTGAATTGGGGAATAAAATTGAGCCACGAAGAAGAAATATAGGTGAGCAGGAAATTTTTGGATTGAGAATGAGGAGGTGGAGGGGAAAATATGGACTGAAGGTGGCAATTTAATTCTAAACCTTTGGTTCGAGGAGAGATGTGAAATCTCACCCTTTTCCCGAATTTCATCTCGCATGATTTCAGTCTCATATATCAAATTTCGAATTTAGAAGGACACTTTTGGACACTGCCGCCTGCCGCCGCCTTCTCAATTCCTTTTTTAGACCTCCCTTTCAAGAAATAAAAAAACTCACCAAACGTCGGAAAAATAGGCATACTCGGAAAAGCCTCATTAGAATCCGTTCTGATCGTTTTCGATGATTCAGAAGAATAACCATAGCCTTCTAGGAAATGACATTTGTCTTTTTAGCTAAAATATGTTGGTATGGGGACACTGAGGCCACGAGGATAGGAAAAAAGTTGAAGCGCTTCTTCTTTTTTCTTCTTCTCTATTCTAACAACTACTCAGTTGCTTTTGAAAAAACTGGGAACGCCCTCTTGTCTCTTTTCATGTTCATTTTTTTTGAAAACTTTTTGAAATATATCCCATTGTATGAGTCCCTATGGACCATTTTGAGAGCTTAACGATACACGCCACATACGCAAAAGCACTGAATGAGCAAAACTGCACTTCTGTGGTCTCGGAAGGTCAGAAACCGGGTGTTGCTGGCGCTAATGCAATACCCTAATACTTTTGGGATTTGGACCAGGAAAAACCAAAAAAAAAAGTTTTAACGGAGGACCATTTTGATTGATAGGTGCTCGAAGTGGAAAATGAAAGCGGCTCCTAAAAAGTGCGAATACATCAAATTCGATGCAAAAAGAAAATATGCCAACTCCAATGTTATGAATCCCAAATTAAATCAAGCTTTGATTCCCCCTGTGGAAAATGTCCGTGATCTTGCGATCTACTTTTCCAGTAACCTGAGTTTCCATTATCATTATTCGTTGATTATTCGGAAATCACATCAGAGGATCAACATGTTCTTTTCCATTCTAAAAAACGCATCGTGGAGTGTTTTTATAAAATGCTATACAATTTACATACGCCCTTTACTCGAATATGGAACGATAGTCACTTCTCCAATCCTAAAGGATCATATTATAAAATTGGAATCGGTGCAAAAGTCATTTGTTTTCAGAATTTTCAAAAAATTCAGGATGGCATACACTTCATACTTTGAAGCACTGGAAGAATGTCAGCTAAGTTCCTTGGAGTATTGCAGGCTCTATAATGATTTGGTCTACACATATAAAATTATTGTTTCCAAAGAAATTATCATGGAGGTTCCAATTTTCGAAATATTTAATCATGCTGGATCATTGCGACGTCACAAATACTATCTCAAATCACTTATCAAAAACTCAACAAAAATATCTTCTCAATTTCTCTCTAATAGAGTAATCAGATGTTGGAACTCTTTACCCGCCAAAGTGTTTCCGGTGAAGCCCTCGTCAGCGGCTTTCAAAAATCGACTATTATCCTGTGATCTAAAACAATTTCTTGTCTTGAATTCAACTAATTACTAACTCGGTTTTTCCTTCATCTCCCAATTACTACAAATGTATGTCCCTGTTATATCTCCTAGTTTCATAGACATTTCACGTGTTAGTGGTTTTCTCCCCTTCGTTGAAATAAATAAATAAATAAATAAATAGGCAA